ATTTTGTGAAAAAGCCGCAGGAAAAAAATAAAATCTTCATCATGTAGCATCCTCACGTAGCCAGATGCCTCTCTCACGGTGGGCTGGTCAAATGAACCCAATGAACCCGTCCGGATGGCTTCAAAACATTCTATGAGGTCGTCTCGATTCTCGTAGACAGTGTTCACGACTCTGCTGTTGAAGTTCCACCGTGTGGATGAAGGTCTGGGCAGTCTTCGTGCAACAGTCTGGTCAAGAATGCTGGTGCGTTTGGGTGACCGGGAAAAAAAAGTTGCAATCCCGCTCAGATCGGAAAAGAAAATGTTCACTTTTTTGATGCGAGAAGTAGCTTGCTGCATGATCAAATTCAGCTGATGCGCATAGCAATGCACGTAATGGGCATTCTTGAAATGCTCACGCACCTTTTGCTGCACACCAGCCTTCTCTCCCCTCATCACACTGGCTCCATCGTAAGCTTGCGCAATGAGTTTGACTTTCTCGTCATCGGCAAAAAGACCGTTCAGTCTCTCCAAAAGCACACTGGCGATTGAGACTGAGGTTGATTCCGAGATGGGAAGGAACTCAAAAAAGCGCTCCTGCACTTTGTGGTTGCTATCTATGTACCTCAGCACAAGCACCAACTGTGTCTGTGTAGAAACGTCCGTGGTCTCGTCAGCTTGGATAGCTACGAAGTTCGCCGACTTCACCTCCTCCACAATATGTTCCCTCGTGACCGCTAGCATACACTCCAGTAGCTCGTTTTGAATGGTCTTTGATGTGCCCTTGAAAACTTTAGCATTTTTAAGATGGTCATCAAACACCTCATCTAATTGTGCCACAAAGTTGACAAGTCCAAGAAAAATACCAGGGTTGGTGGAGCCCTCAGTTTCATCTTTGCCTCGCAAAGCTAACTCAAACACTCCGCAAAACTTCACACACTGGATTAGCCGGCTGAGGATGTGGCGGTTCTTGCTAACCTCATCGTTGTGGCGGCGGACAGCTAGCCTGTATCCCTCATCCAGTTGAGTGGCAATATTCACTCTCCCCAAAGCAGACAATCTCAAACAGCTATCCATGTGGGTCTTTGACAGCTCATGTTTCTTAATCTTTTCTGAAAGATGGTGCATGTCGGTTACACCAGTCGCTGTCCAAGCGGTGCTGTCTGCCGTGCCGCCTTCAGGGTGAAAGAGTAAGCAGGGGTAGCAGAAAACTGCATTAGCTACATCGCAGCCTGCTAGCCAGATTTTTCGTTCATACCAATTTTTGGAAAATCCTCGGGTGTAGGACTTTCCCCCTTTAGTAGAAACCTGTTGAATTATTAAATTTGGTCTGGGAGGTCCTAATTGTTTCGTTGCCAATTTATCTTGATTTGTTCGCCGACAAAAAGGAACTTATTTCAAAGAGACAATCGAGTTGCACTGAAGGCTAGCCATTTTGACAGTAGTAGTGAATTGATTGATGAGGCTACCCGCTCTTTTCTTAGTTACGTTCATGGTTATGTTACGTATGACGAAAGCGCGTAAGTGCAAGCCCTCAGAAACCCATAGAGATTGTATTGAAAGCTCTGATATTTGAAAAAAAATGATTTTACATTAGAGGCTATGAGAGACTTCTGGGCGATTTTCAACCTGACTGAAATCGCCCCAAAACGGGCGGGGACATTTGAAGCACGACTTTAGCCTGATTGGACATTTAGTGGCAGATCAGACGTCTAGATTAGAACACTGATAACTACTGTTGCCGTGATATAATTGATTAGAAAAAAAATCCCTTCCTTTTCCCGTTTGGCAGTGCGTCGCCCATATCGCCCTAATGAACACACCGCCCCTGCTCACCAGACATGTCACCCATTGTGCATGTTTGGGATGCTCTTGATCTATGTGTACAACAGCGTGTTCCAGTTCCCGCCACTATCCAGCAACTTCACACAGAAATTGAAGAGTGGGACAACATTCCACAGGCCACAATCAACAGCCTGATCAACTCTATGCTAAGGAAATGTGTCGCGCTGCATGAGGTCACACCAGACACTGACTGGTTTTCTGATCCCCATGCTTGCCTTTTTTTTTTTTTTTTTTAAGGTATCCGCGACCAACAGATACATATCTGTATTCCCAGTCGTGAAATCCATAGATTAGGGCCTAATTAATTTATTTCAATTGACTGATTTCCTTATATGAACTGTAACTCAGTAAAATATTTAATTCTTGCATGTTGCGTTTATATTTTTGTTCAGTATAGTAAACTTGAAGGCAAAAAGGGAAGTATGATGTGAAATGGGAACCTTGTATTCCAACTGATTTTAGGCTACCAAAGCCAAGAATTTACCGCTGCGCATCGGAGTTTTGATAAAAACAGTGGCGAAAGAAAATGTCAATCTGATAATCACACGCTGCTATTTATTGTTGACCAGCAGACGTCCCTAGTGTTAATTTTGAATAGATAATGAAGCTCCGAGTAATGAACCGTTTTTAGGCGCCGAAACCTTCAGAAAGCCTTGTTAGAGATATTTATGTTTATTTATTTTCCATTTTGTACTTTAACTATTTGCACATCGTTACAACACTGTACATAGCCATAATATGACATTTGAAATGTCTCTATTCCTTTGAACATTTTGTGAGTGTGATGTTTACTGTAGATTTTTTCTTTATTTCACCTTTGTTTATTTTTGATTTCACTTGCTTTGGCAATGTAAACATATGTTTCCCATGCAAATAAAGCCATTAGAATTTAATTGAAATTTATATTAGAGAAAGGAAGAGATAGGAATGCCATTTGGTCAATTAATGGGGGAACGTATAACGTCATGCAGTTGCTAAACTAATCGTCACGCAATCCCCTTCTCAAATGCCGCATTCAAAACAACTGGGAATTCAGAACTGGGAACTCGGAAATCTCCGAATTCCGTACGTTCAAGACAACTGAGAACTCGAAAAAGCCCAATTGACTCCCATTCACTCCTTGAAGGAGGGCGCTCCTTGTCCCATAATCACCCAGAATGCACCACGCGGGCCATTGAGGTAGCATGGGCAACGTACACAATGGGCGTTAATACGATTCCAATGGAGTTTCCCAATCTCCTCTAAATGATCAATTCAAAGGGCTTTATTGGCATGGGAAACATATGTTCGCCAGAGCAAGCTAAATATATTAGGTATCTCTGGCCTCGTTTTCCCATCACTAGTTGTCACTGGTGGAAACCGCGCGGGCTGATCTCCTTCTTCGTTGGGGTTTAACGGCGGTTGGCATCCAATATTATATTGCATTACCGCCACCGCGCGGGCTGATCGATGTTGAATCAATTACGTCAGTCGTTTCTCTCCGTTTTTCGCTTTACGTCTTAGGGTTTCGTCCAATTAGTGCTGAGTTTTACTTATCTATTTTTTACTTAACACTTATTTTTCTTAGAAACTGCATTGTTGGTTAAGGGCTTGTAAGTAAGCATTTCACTGTAAGGTCTACACCAGTTGTATTCGGCGCATGTGACAAATACAATTGATTTGATTTGAGACACAAAACACTTCTCTTTTCTAGGGTTTCCACTATATAGCACAGCAACAAAGTCAAAATTGGCCATATCTTAAAAATTTATGAAAAACTAAAAATACATATATTTTTGGTCATCATTTAAGTTTAGCCATAAAGTTAGCAGTGTGGTTAAGGTTAGGTTGAAAATCAATTTTTAAGAAAATTAATTGAAGAATTGGGCGGGGTTTATGACTTTGTGGCTATGGTAACTAGTGACGATTATAGTGGAATCGGTGAGGGTAACCAGAAGTGGTCTAGTGATAATTGTTTGTGTTTCTGTTGGGCAGAGGGAGAAGGTGCTCAGAGTTAAACAAATGGGGGAAAGAATTGTGAAATGTTTCGCTCTCAAGAAAAGGGCGCCATTGAAAGGAGTGATTACTGGGGTAGCAGTAAATGTTAAAGTGGACCAACTGAAGGAGAAGATTCCCGGTGTGTGTGAGGCTCGTCGTTTGGTGCGACGCAAACAGGGTGGCAAGAGTGGGGAAACAGAAGAGTCATTGTCTGTTCTTTTGAGTTTTGAAGTTGAGTCTTTGCCTGATAAAGTGAAATTAGGATATATAAATTATCCTGTGCCAGCTTATGTGCCGAGTACATTACGATGTTACAGTTGTCAAATTTATGGGCATGTGGCAGCAGTATGTAGGAGGGAGATTCCAAGGTGTGAGAAGTGAACAGAAGGGCATGAGACAAAGGAGTGTGAAGCAGTGGGGAAAGTGGTGGTATGTGCTAATTGTAGGGGTGGCCATGGGGCTGGGGATCAGACATGTCCAGTGCGAGAAAAGCAGGTTGAGGTTTCCAGGGTAAGAGTAGAGAATAAATTGTCATGCGGAGGCAGTGAAGAAAGTAGAGGAAGAGGGGTCAAGGGGGGAGTAGGATATATGTAATAATAATATGCCATTTAGCAGACGCTTTTATCCAAAGCGACTTACAGTCATGCGTGCATACAGTTTTGTGTATGGGTGGTCCCGGGGATCGAACCCACTACCTTGGCGTTACAAGCGCCGTGCTCTACCAGCTGAGCTACAGAGGACCACACAGTATGTACCAGTACAGTGGGATAGGCAAGCAAGTGATATGTTTCAGTAAGATTGGATTTTTAGTGTTTATAGCAATGGTTATTAATTGTACTTCAGGGATGGAACGTAAGTCGAATAAAAATTAGGATGTGGTGGCAGCTGCAGAGAGATATTTGGGTGTGCGAGACTTGACAGCAGAAGAGTTACAGGGAGTGTTAAGTGGTGATGTCCCATTATTTCAGGTTGAGGGCATGAGGTAGGAGTGAGTATATTTAAATAGTGGAGAAGGGTGGGGTTAATTATTAGTAATAGTTTTGAATTTGTGAGTGTAGTGTTAGATGGTAGGGTATTTCTTTGTTTTATTTTATTTTTCAAGGAAAAGAAAAGGGAGTTGTACTCCAGTCTAATAGGTGGCGGTAATGCAACAAATTAGATGCCAACCGCCGTTAAACCTAATTGAAGAAGAAGAACCAGTGACGACCTCTTTCTAGTTTCGCTAGCTGTGGAGCAGTGTGAACAAATTCCAACCTAATCTGTTTTCGTAGGTAGCCGACCAAAAAGAGACCGACATCAAGGTGATATGAACACATAGCTCGTTAAAGACATGCGTGTTTGGTTACATCTTCTTCCTTGCGAAAGTGTGTCGTTGTATTTTAATAAAAAATAACGTTACTTGACATAGCTAACTAGTTGGCTAGCTAGCATGCCGACAAGCAGAATGAATGGGACTCAGGACAATTGCCTTACTAGCTTCTCCACATGTGTTTTAGCCTGTTTGCTAGTTAGCTGTCTGCTAGCTTATGCAGTTGGTTAGCTGCGCCAACTGGCTCGTCTGTCTACAGCGGAGGTGCCCTGTTCAAATTAGGTTGACGTTTGTGTCAACTTGAGTAGCTAGCTAGTGGTTGAACCAGCGATATGAAACCGGGAAGTTATCCAAGATAAATTACTGTTAGCTAGGTAGCCATGTGACAAGTCATCGCAGGGTATAGATTGCTGTCTGTATTCTTTGCCAGCAGCAGCATTCCAGACGCAACTACACACGATGGGGTCTAATCCAAGGCAACTGTTTGGCATTGCGAACCCAGCCTTGAATGTCATGTTTCCCTGCTAGTGTAGTAAGCCATTGATGTTGTAATCAGTACAAAAACTAGTGACAGGTCGTTGTCAGAGTAAAAGGGAAGAATATGCACACGGTTCAGAAATTGGCCCCTGGCGTGTGAGCTAAACCTAATAGAATTGTCTGCCATGTAAAAATGTAATGTTGATATTAAGCATGTCCCATAATTTAGTAAGCTTGTAGGTTGTTTGGTTCAAGAGCTGTGAAGTGTTTCATTTCTGTTGCTAAATGTTTTGTTGCTGTTGCAGATGCCTCCAAAGAAGGGAGGAGAGGGACCAAAACAACCACCGCTGATTGGACGCTTCGGGACTTCTCTGAAGATTGGGATTGTGGGATTGCCGAATGTTGGGTATGTACATGGCTACAATTTAGAAGTTGCCCATAGTTGTAAAGTAGGTTGTTGGAGAATCATTAGCCTGATTCACACTATGGGGCCAACCCAAACTGTACTGTGCTGGCTTGGGTGTTTTCTTTTCATATTGTTATTTCCAGCAACTAAGAGTATCATCTTTTGTTGTTCAGAAGGCTTTACCATGCAGATGTCTTGGGCTGTAGAATAGTGACTGAAACTGCGTCTTGTCATTTTTGTCAACAGGAAGTCAACATTCTTCAATGTGCTGACCAAGAGCCAGGCTGCAGCAGAGAACTTTCCCTTCTGCACCATCGACCCCAACGAGAGCAGAGTGCCCATCCCTGACGAACGCTATGACTACCTCTGCACCTTCCACAAGCCCCTCAGGTAGGGTTGTGTTTGTGAGCAGTGTGCACATTCCTGTAGAACGTTACAAATACTTCTGCGTCTTCCACAAGCCTTGGAAATGTATGAGTAAACACTCTGTACCTCAAGTTTGTGTGTGTGTGCAACTTCTCTTTCTCATTGTACAGTAAGGTCCCAGCGTTTCTGAATGTGGTGGACATAGCTGGGCTGGTGAAAGGAGCTCATGCTGGACAAGGACTGGGCAACGCCTTCCTGTCTCACATTAGTGCCTGTGACGGCATCTTCCACATGACACGTGAGTTTAACACACACTCGCAGAAATGCACACACATACACTTGTATACACACACTCAAACCCACACTGTAATCCTGGTGTACATTTGTAGTGCCAAAACCACAAGCATGTGAAGCTTCCATTCTAATCAATGGGGCACTCACACCTACTCGGTGCTAGCACAGTTCAGATGTGCATGAACAACAACAATATATTCAATTCCTATTTTAGCAGTTTTGTGATGTCAAGCACCATTGCGCAGGCTGGACATAATTGTGTGTTTCTGTGTGTGTAGGTGCGTTTGAGGATGAGGACATCATCCATGTGGAGGGTAATGTGGACCCAGTGAGGGACATTGAGATCATCCATGAGGAGCTACGGCTGAAGGATGAGGAGTCTCTTGGACCAATCATAGATAAGTTGGAGAAGACCGCTGTCAGAGGAGGAGACAAGAAACTCAAACCTGAATATGTAAGTAGAGTGTGTGTGGGGTGGGTGATGAGTGTCCCATTGGGTTTGAGACTGAGGTCTGAAGCTGTGTATGTGTGCATGATTCAAGCGCTTGAAACACTTCCATGCCCTCTCATAGATTGTTTGAGACCCACAGGCGTGCCTAGGGAGAAGGGGCCACGGAATAAACCAGAATTCAGCATTTGTTTACTCTCATGTTCTCTCCTTTCATTCCCTTCTCTTGTTCCCTCATCCCTCACTCAGGACATCATGTTGAAGGTAAAGAACTGGATTTCGGAGGAGAAGAAACATGTCCGCTTCTACAATGACTGGAACGAGAAGGAGGTACGACTGTATGTGCTCGCAAAAGAGAGAGAGCAGAGTACCTTTAGTTGCAGGGGCCTGTATACCAGCACAGACTTCTAACCCAGTGTGTTGTGTGTGTATGCAGATCGACGTGCTGAACAAATACCTGTTCCTCACATCCAAGCCCATGATCTACCTGGTCAACCTCTCAGAGAAAGACTACATCAGGAAAAAGAACAAGTGGTCAGTGGGTTCTCTTTCTTCATTCCTTATTTCCTGTCTTTCTGAATCTTACGTTATTTGGGTTGTGATGCCTGGCAGCCATTATCTGAGGAGCTGAAATGCTACTTGTTGATGGTCTGAACTTTGCTTGCAGTAGAGGTTTATTTTGTGATTGTGGCATTTTGTGCAAAATAAACACTGACAGTTTTGTATGCGCCAAAAACCCTGATCATGTTTGGTTTATTAAAGAGCAACTTCAATCAAATCAACTTTGTTATTCTAACAGAGGATTTTTTCTCTCTATGTATATACATCCCCCAGGCTGATTAAGATTAAGGAGTGGGTCGATGCCCATGACCCAGGAGCTATGGTCATACCAGTGAGTGGAGGTCTTGAGGCCAAACTACAGGACATGACCGACGAGGAGAAGGACAAATACTGTGAGGAGGCGAAGACTCAGAGGTACACACACGGACAGCTCAAACACAAAATGAACACATTTTATGATATTGTAAACAGTTACCTTAATAACTGTGTGTGTGTGTGTGTGTATTGCAGTGTACTGACTAAGATCATTAAGACGGGCTATGCAGCTCTGCAGTTGGAATATTTCTTCACAGCGGGACCAGACGAGGTTAGAGCGTGGACTGTCAGGGTAAGAGACACACAGTTTGGTTCTCTCTCTCCCACAATGAGGTGTGGGTGTGACTATCAAAGCGTTATCGATTATTTCTCTCTGTCCTACAGAAAGGCAGCAAGGCGCCCCAGGCGGCAGGGAAGATCCACACTGACTTTGAGAAAGGTTTCATCATGGCAGAGGTCATGAAGTTCCAGGACTTCAAAGATGAGGGCACCGAGAATGCTGTCAAGGTGTGTGTACTTATGTGAGGCTGAGATAAATAGTTACTGTGTCATGGGTGTGCGATGGCATGCCATAAATACTTGTCAATAGTTTTTTGTCTGATCTTATCTGGATAAAGACTGTCTGATAAAGATGGTGCTGTTCTGGATGGCTGCCGTTTTGCGGGCTCCGACCCAACTTTGCTATTTTGTGACTCTTTTGGCGTTTATTTGTACTTTATTTTCACGGAATGTATCCGTTATCATTTCTTATAACTGACAAGAACTTTTGAACATCAGATCAGCAGTTACTTAGACCAATTCCGGCTTCAATGTTGCCCCCAATTTTCCGAGTACCCAAGAGGAAACGCCGGTGTTACAGAGGCAAGAGAGGGGGCTTCCTGGTGAGATTAAGGCGAAGGGAAAACCGGCCACCTCTTCCCTCCATTCTGTTGGCCAAAATCTATGGCCTTTTGATTGTGGATTTGCTACCAACGGGACGCTTGTAACTGCAATATTCTCAACTTTTCTGAAACATGGCTTTTGGACAAGATACTCCCCATGGCTATCCAACTCGACTCCATTCACCGAGCGGACAGTAGAGTCAGGGAAATTAAGAGGGAGAGGGGTGTGCCTCTTCATCAACAACAAATGGTGTTCTGACTCGAGCGCAAGCACACCCCCATCCACAGGGCTGCAGTGGAGCGGGTCGAGCGCTTCAAGTTCCTCAGGGTCCAAATCACTAAGGACTTAATGGTCCACACACACGCGCAGTCGTGAAGAACACGCTTCTTCCCCCTCAGGAGGTTTTAAAAGTTTGGCATGGGCCCTCAAATCCTCAAAGTTCTACAGCTGCACCATTGAGAGCATCTTAACTGGCTGCATCACTGCTAGGTATGGCAACAGCACCGCCCTCGATCCTATGGCGCTACAGAAGGTGGTGCGGACAGCCCAGTACATCACTGGGGCTGTGCTCCCTGCCACCCAGGACCTCTATATCAGATGGTGTGAAAGGAAGGCCTGATAAATCGTTAGACTCACCCAAGCCATTGACTGTTCTCTCTGCTTCCGCACGACAAGCGGTACTGGTACATCAAGTCTGACACCAACAGGCTCCTGAACTTTCCCCAAGCCATAAGACTGCTAAATAGCTAACAAAATGGCTACACAGACTGTCTGAATTAACCCTTGTATTTATTCCTATTCACACTTACAGGACTCTACACACTCACGCACACTGACACTCCAACACACACATAACATTCACACATTTATACTGACTCTACCAAGTCACCTTACCCATATACATATCTACCTCTATCACTCCAGTATCCCTGCACATTGTAAATATGGTATTGGAACTGACCCTGTACAGTTGAAGTCAGAAGTTTACATACACCTTAGCCAAATACATTTAAACTCAGTTTTTCACAATTCCTGACATTTAATCCTAGTAAACATTCCCTGTCTTAGGTCAGTTAGGATCACCACTTTATTTTAAGAATGTGAAATGTTAGAATAATAGTAGAGTGATTTATTTCAGCTTTTATTTCTTTCATCACATTCCCAGTGGGTCAGAAGTTTACATACACTCAATTAGTATTTGGTAGCATTGCCTTTAAATTGTTTAACTTGGGTCAAATGTTTCGGGTAGCCTTCCACAAGCTTCCCACAATAAGTTGGGTGAATTTTGGGCCATTCCTCCTGACAGAGCTGGTGTAACTGAGTCAGGTTTGTAGGCCTCCTTGCTCGCACACGCTTTTTCAGTTCTGCCCACACATTTTCTATAGGATCGAGGTCAGGGCTTTGTGATGGTCACTCCAATACCTTGACGTTGTTGTCCTTAAGCCATTTTGCCACAACTTTGGAAGTGTGCTTGGGATCATTGTCCATTTGGAAGACCCATTTGCGACCAAGCTTTAACTTCCTGACTGATGTCTTGAGATGTTGCTTCAATATATCCACATAATTTTCCTTCCTCATGATGCCATCTATTTTGTGAAGTGCACCAGACCCTCCTGCAGCAAAGCACCCCCACAGCATGATGCTGCCACCCCCGTGCTTCACAGTTGGGATGGTGTTCTTCGGCTTGCAAGCCATGCCCTTTTTCCTCCAAACATAACGATGGTCATTATGGGCAAACAGTTATATTTTTGTTTCATCAGACCAGAGGACATTTCTCCAAAAAGTACGATCTTTGTCCCCATGTGCAGTTGTAAACCGTAGTCTGGCTTTTTTATGGCAGTTTTGGAGCAGTGGCTTCTTCTTTGCTGAGCGGCCTTTCAGGTTATGTCGATATAGGACTTGTTTTACTGTGGATATAGATAATTTTGTACCTGTTTCCTCCAGCATCTTCACAAGGTCCTTTGCTGTTGTTCTGGGATTGATTTGCACTTTTCGCACAAAAGTACATTCATCTCTATGAGACAGAACGCGTCTCCTTCCTGAGCGGTATGACGGCTGCGTGGTCCCATGGTGTTTATACTTGCGTACTATTGTTTGTACAGATTAACGTGGTACCTTAAGGCATTTGGAAATTGCTCCCAAGGATGAACCAGACTTGTGGAGGTCTACAATATTTGTTCATATGTCTTGGCTGATTTCTTTTGATTTTCCCATGACGTCAAGCAAAGAGGCACTGAGTTTGAAGGTAGGCCTTGAAATACATCCACAGATACACCTCCAATTGACTCAAATGATGTCAATTAGCCTATCAGAAGCTTCTAAAGCCATGACATCATTTTCTGGAATTTCCCAAGCTGTTTAAAGGCGTAGTCAACTTAGTGTATGTAAACTTCTGACTTCAACTGTATATAGCTTCTTACTTCTATCACTCCAGTATCCCTGCACATTGTAAATATGGTATTGGAACTGACCCTGTATATAGCTTCTTACTTTCTTGTGTTCTTCTTATTTTTATTTCTCGTGTGTTTTTGTTCTACCTTGTTATTTTTTTAGTACTACATTGATATTGATCACTGCATTGTTGGGTTTAGAGGTCACAAGAAAGGGATTTCACTGTACTTGTGCAGGTGACATTAACTTGAAACTTGCTAAATTACTTTGTATAATGTCGATAAATTTGTTCTGGTTTGATTTGTCCCGCAGGCTGCTGGGAAGTACAGGCAGCTGGGCAGGAACTACATCGTGGAGGACGGAGACATTATATTTTTCAAATTCAACACACCCAATGCACCCAAGGCGGCGAAGAAGTGATGGGACCAACGCGACCAGTACAATAACACAGTGTTCTTGTGTCCCGTCTCATCTTGTCCTTGAGGGCAGCAGTGTTGCTGATTTTTCTCCCTTCTCCCTAGTATAATGAATGGGAGGATAGAATTAGAATGAATCAATCAATCATTCTAATTCTATGTATGGTAGGATGAAAATCCAGTGCACACTGCAACCCTTGAGGTCAGTACCAGGTCCTGAAGTGTTTCCTGGTCAGGTTATTTGGTCAGGAAAAACTCTGGGCCCTAGTCAGGACTGATCGGAACAAGGAGGGACCATTATTATTTTAAGTAAAGTAGGCATCTCTGACAGTGCCTGACCAGAAACCACCGACGTGACTTCCCTATTTGCCCCACCATACAAAATCTGCCCAGGTGCCTTTTTTGGTTTTGCTTTGGGACCCTGACTATTGCACCTACCCATACACTATTATATTCAATCTATATCTTTGCCCACCTCACACAAGACATATCTGTAACATTGTGAATAAGAGGAAGATATAAATCAGTCTTCTGATACCCTGTCCATATATAGACTCTCACTCAGTAGCTTTACTTCCATGTCTCCTTCCCTCATCTCCTTCCTTTGAAATTAAGCAAGTGAATGGACCATGGAAATGAATCGGTTCTTTGAGATCAGTATTGGAATGCAGCCAGAAAGATATCTGTTCATGATGATAAACTAAGTGCCAGGGCCCGGTTGCGTAAAACACCTTAAGTTAATTTTTCCCTTAAAGTAGCCTTCACTTTAAGTCAGTTGCACAAAACATTTTAAGGTGAATTTCCCCCTTAAATTAAGTGAAAAAGTTAAGGGTGCCCATGATGTCCCTTAATTGCTTCATTCAGTATGGATATCAATGTAAACAGCATTTGTGGAGGTGAATATTGCTTTAATTTGCTCTGGTTAGAAAAGGAAAACATCAACCAGCTAGCTAGCTACTTAGCTAAACAATGGAAGGTGCACAATCCATGGCTACAAAGCTACCTGGCTAGTTAGCTATAGCTACTCTGTAAGCTAGCTTGACATACTAGAAAGTAATATAAACAAGTTGAGAAAAAAGTAACTACAAGAAACGTGGTTTATCTTCTGAAGCAATTTCGTTATCCTGTCTTGATTGTAGAAGTTATATTTTGCTATCTCACAAAATGAAAGTGATCTCTTTGAAGATACTTTTAATCAGGCCATATCCATGGTAACCAGATACTATTTTTTCGCTATACATGCCTTTTAAATTAAGTGAAAAGGTTAAGGGTGCCCATGAGGTCCCTTAAGTGCTTCATTCAGTATGGATATCAATGTAAACTGCATTTGTGGAGTTGAATGTTGCTTTCCTCTGCCCTGGTTGTAAAAGGAAAACATCAACCAGTTAGCTAGGTGTATAACTAGCTAGCTACTTAGCTAAACAATGGAAGGTGCACAATCCATGGTAGGCTGGACAATAGAACGAGTCAAAATTCACCCAAGGCTGAAAAACGGTAATAGAACATTGGCTAAGCTGGAACACTAGCACGAGCCCATATCAAATGATTTGAATCAAACGTTCGCAGAGCCTATTTTGACTGGAATGATGCATAGAATTCCATTTCGCCTTTGTCAGTGAATCATGTCGTCTCCATGTTAACCATACTCTTTCAGCCGTACAGTACATGCCTTCAAACTACCGTAAAACCCCTTTAAGTATGCCTTACCTAAGGAAAACGTTTGAGGGACTCTATGCAACGCCCCAATTCCCTTAGGGAAGGGGAAATTATAAGATGTTTTATGCAACTGGGCCTGACACAAGAATTTCCATGGAAACGCATGTACTGCAACCACAATATGGGTCAACAATACACTCAATAAAACAAGACAGATTCAGTTTGTGTTCAAATGGGTTTTAATTGATGGGTTTACAAAAGTGTGTTGACACCAGGGTTGATGTGCTGGCGGGGTGTGTGTTGTGTTTTGAAGTGACCGGGGATGCTTGTGACAGGCTGGGGGAACATGTTGATACAGCAAAATAAATTATATGAATGGTGACATAGGTTCTGTGCATACTAGTCTGCATCTTGGTCCATGCAAAAATATTCCTTGTTGCAATGACTATTTCCCAGCACATACACTTGAACGCTTTCAGCATAACTGAAGCAGTTCCTTCTAAAAAGCAGGGGCAAGGAGCAACATCTGGCTGGCAGCCGCACAGAACAATGTAGCCAAGATTTTCACAATGATCACTGCACTTAAATTTAGCTTAGTTGCAATGTTAGCCAGCTAACCTAGTAGTGTACCAACGAGGTGAATATGCGGATACATTAATACACAAATAAATATCGTAATTTAAATGGTGTTGCAGTTACATAATGGCCGTTTTCCCTACACTTCCTGCTCTTTAATTTCAACCATAGATTCCCAGATTTGAGGTTCTTGTCCAACAACAAACAGGAAACAGATATCCCATAAAAATGACGGATATATCGCTTGGCCATAGAGGTCTCACAAAACCCCAGCACTAACCAATCCATTTAGAGAAGAACGGCGGGACTTCCTGTTACGTGCTTGTTAGCCCCCACTCCCCTTTTTTGTGTTTCCCTCACCGTCAATCAAAATAGAAAAAAATCTACCCGAATTCACCGATCAACACAAGCCCGCCTTTGATAAAAGATAATCATGTTCGGAGTTTAGTTAATCAGATAATCTTTCGATTATTACAATTCACGATATGACTGGTACATAACATTTAACCAATCGAAGCATACAACCAACCGGTGAGTTTGTACGTAACAACCGATAGCAAAGCAAGCTAGCTACGTCTTTTAATCTTTTGCAGTAGACCTATGCTAGGTAGTTAGCTAGTTAACAAAAGTAAACATTCAATCTGTGTCGAAATCCGCCTTGAAACCTTGTCGCAAAGTTAGGGTTTGCCGTTTATTCGTCATCGACTGAAGTTTGTTATCTCTTTGCAGCCTTTTAGGAGCGGAAAGCTGTGAGAAAATTTGTGTTTTGCTCAGTTTTCCTATCTCTCCATGCTAGCGCCAGAGCAACATTTGAAACAAGAGGAAATGGCTACCGCGGACGTGGAAGGCGGTCAAAGCGAATTCCTACAGCACGGCGGAGCCTCGGAAAACCAGGTACCCCAACATTTTCTATCTCGTATTTCTTCTCCTCCGAGCTACTACTGTGTAATGTTTTTAGCTAGCTAGAAGTTCACACGTTTTTAAATGTTGCAGGGGGTGTAAAGCTAGTATACTTCCGCCGCTGTGTTCCCCGCTATAACGGCCACCCACTTTACCCCTCTAGAACCCGCCCATAGTGGGTAGGACACAGCCCGTCACTTGGTCAGCTCGCCGATATTTAGCTCGTCTACCTGGGGCTAGGGGGGTACAGCGGGGAAAGGAGGGGCGAGTGGGGAAACTGAACTGATAATGTGGTAATCTGTGCACCGAACTACGAAATGTCTCCCCCACCCCCATGTAGCGATTACGTATTTTGTCTAGCCATACTAGCTGTATTTGGTGGATGATAGAAGGGACTCTTCAATGTTTTTTGTCTAGTGGTGGTGACTAGCTCTCGAAAACCCTTCTACCTATGTAGGCTGTTCAGCTGTTACGTTCGCCCACATTTGGCTCCATGTGAACTAGAATTCCGACGCTGTGTTTTAACATTTAGAAACGTCAATCATTGCTTTCAAAGTGGTTTTCTAAACATATGCTGATATCCGCCTTATCTTTCATATCAGCGGGAAATAATCTTTCAAATAAAAAATATACTAACTGTAGCAGTTTTGCACAGATCGACAAGATGTGTGCCTCCAGTTGATGAACTACTCTTCCTCCCCAGTTACGCATACACAAGTGTTCTGAGCTCGCTAATTAGCACAGGTGGCGGCCTATGTTTTCTGTCTGTCTTTGTAAACAAGCGATGTAACATGGAGAGTGTGTAGTATTTTGAGATTTTGTTTTAAACAAAAACAAATTCTTGCTGATATGAAAGATACTGCACGTTCTTTATGTTTCCAAAAATGTACCGCAAGCTATGCGTGTTAATGTTTAGACTAGCATAGGGGCTCTTAACAAAACTCTCCCGTCAGAATATGCTGTACTTTCGTCAATAGGCGCTAAAGCAGTTTGCGTCTATGAATGGGGTAGGTGGTGACATGCTTGAGGAAGTTTGGATCCTTTCATATTGGACCTTGTGAAATCAAACCACCTAGCTAAGCCATAGACTGTATAGCAGATTCAGAATTTATCATGTTGTTTTGACATTTTTGTCTTATTAATTGAAATGTCTTGATACTACTGTATTATTGCTAGTCCAATGTTGCAGATACCTATAATATAGGATTGGATATCTATTTTAACAAGATCAGCTCCACAATAATTGTCTTGTCTACTGACACTGGATTGTGATATCAAACCATACTGCATGTCATTTTGCCCTATTCACAGTGTGGAGCCTACACCCTGATATCTGTCTGTCTCAGTACCTCTCACTGTCACACTCTCGGATAGGACAGAGATGTCATTTCCAAATCAATCTGTGGCTTCTTATTCTTTGTGAACTACAATGCAACAGCGTAAGACTTATGACCAATGCCATCTGCATATCTGTAAATAGATCAACTGTTTGCATTACTCAACAGTGACCAAACACTAATCTGAATAATAATCAATGAATATGTGTCTTCTCTCTGTCAGACCACAGACATGACAGCCATCCAGCTAACAGGTTCAGACCGTTGGGAGTTGTTAACCCCGGTCTCTACAGGGAAGGATGCGCAGCAGGGAGTCGTCCACATTCCTAACTCTGGCATGATGACCTCTAACGGCCAGTATGTTCTCCCTATCGGGAACATGGACAGTCAGCCCATCTACGTCACAGCATCTGGCAACGACGGCTCAGCCAACGGAGTGTCCAGCATACAATACCAGGTAGTGTACTGTACACACACACACACGCAGATATACTACATGGCCAAAAGTATGTGGACATCCTTTCAAATGAGTGGATTTGGCTATTTCAGCCACACTGGTTGCTGACAGGTGTATAAAATCGAGCGCACAGCCATGCAATCTCCATAAACAAACATTGGCAGTAGAATGGCCCGTACTGAAGAGCTCAGTGACGTTCAATGTGGCACCTTCATAGGATGCCACCTTTCCAACAGGTCAGTTCGTCACATTTCTGCCCTGTTAGAACTGCGCCGGTCATCTGTAAGTGCTGTTATTGTGATGTGGAAACGTCTAGGAGCAACAAACGTCTCAGCTGCGAAGTAGTAGGCCACACAAGCTCACATAACGGGACCGCCGAGTGCTGAAGCACGTAGCTAGTAAATATCGTCGGTCCTCGGTCGCAACACTCACTACCGAGTTCCAAACTGCCTCTGGAAGCAACGTCAGCACAATAACTGTTCTTCGGGCACTTCATGAAATGGATTTCCATGGCCAAGCAGCCTAAGATCACCATGCGCAATTCCAAGTGTCGGCTGGAGTGGTGTAAAGCTTGCCGCCATTAGACTCTTGATCAGTGGAAACGCGTTCTCTTGAGTGATGAATCAAGCTTCAACCATCTGGCAGTCCGTCGGACAAATCTGGTTTTGGCGGATGCCAGGAGAACGCTACCTGCCCGAATGCATAGTGCCAACTAAAGTTTGGTGGAGGAGGAATTATGGTCTGGGGCTGTTTTTCATGGTTCGGGCTAGGCCCCTTAGTTCCAGTGAAGGGAAATCTTAATGCTACAGCATACAATGACATTCTAGACGATTCTGTGCTTCCAACTTTGTGGCAACAGTTTGGGGAAGGCCCTTTCCTGTTTCAGCATGACAATGCCCCGTGCACAAAGCGAGGTCCATACAGAAATGGTTTGTTGAGATCGGTGTGGAAGAACTTGACTGGCCTGCACCGAGGCCTGACCTCAACCCCACTGAACACCTTTGGGATGAATTGGAACACTGACTGCGAGCCAGGCCTAATTGCCTAACATCAGTGCCTGACCTCACTAATGTTCTAACATCTAGTGGAAAGCCTTCCCAGAAGAGTGGAGGCTGTTATAGCAGCAAAGGGGGGGGACCAACTCCATATGAATGCCCATGATTTTGGAATGAGATGTTCAACGCGCATGTGTCCACATACTTTTGGCCATGTAGTGTGTGTGTGTATATATATATATATGTATGTATGTATGTATGTATGTATGTATGTATGTATGTATGTATGTATGTATGTATGTATGTATGTATATATGTATATATATGTATGTATATATATATATGTATATGTATATGTGTATATATATATGTATATATATGTATGTGTATGTGTAATATATATGTATATGTACAGTTGAAGTCGGAAGGTTACATACACTTCTGGAAGGCCAAATACATTTAAACTCAGTTTTTCACAGTTCCTGACATTTTAATCCTAGTAAAAATTCCCTGTCTTAGGTCAGTTAGGATCACCACTTTATTTTAAGAATGTGAAATGTCAGAATAATTGTAGAGGGAATTATTTATTTCAGCTTTTATTTCTTTCATCACATTCCCAGTGTGTCAGAAGTTTACATACACTCAATTAGTATTTGGTAGCATTGCCTTTAAATTGTTTAACTTGGGTCAAATGTTTCGGGTAGCCTTCCACAAGCTTCCCACAATAAGTTGGGTGAATTTTTTGCCATTCCTCCTGACAGAGCTGGTGTAACTGAGTCAGGTTTGTAGGCCTCCTTGCTCGCACACGCTTTTTCTATAGGATTGAGGTCAGGGCTTTGTGATGGCCACTCCAATACCTTGACTTTGTTGTCCTTAAACCATTTTGCCACAACTTTGGAAGTATGCTTGGGGTCATTGTCCATTTGGAAGACCCTTTTGCAACCAAGCTTTAACTTCCTGACTGATGTCTTGAGATGTTGCTTCAATATATCCACATAATTTTCCTTCCTCATGATGCCATCTATTTTGTGAAGTGCACCAGACCCTCCTGCAGCAAAGCACCCCCACAGCATGATGCTGCCACCCCCGTGCTTCACGGTTGGGATGGTGTTCTTCCGCTTGCAAGCCATGCCCTTTTTCCTCCAAACATATCGATGGTCATTATGGCCAAACAGTTATATTTTTGTTTCATCAGACCAGAGGACATTTCTCCAAAAAGTACAATCTTTGTCCCCATGTGCAGTTGCAAACCGTAGTCTGTACGTTAATCTCTAGGAGACAGATCGCATCTCCTTCCTGAGCGGTATGACGGCTGCGTGGTCCCATGGTGTTTATACTTGCATACTATTGTTTGTACAGCTGAACGTGGTACCTTCAGGCATTTGGAAATTGCTCCCAAGGATGAACCAGACATGTGGAGGTCTACAATTTAATTTCTGAGGTCTTGGCTGATTTCTTTAGATTTTCCCATGATGTCAAGCAAAGAGGCACTGAGTTTGAAGGTAGGCCTTGAAATACATCCACAGGTACACGTCCAATTGACACAAATGATGTCAGTTAGCCTATCAGAAGCTTCTAAAGCCATGACATCATTTTCTGGAAATTTCCAAGCTGTTTAAAGGCATGGTCAACTTAGTGTATGTAAACGTCTGACCCACTGGAATTGTAAGACAGTGAATTATAAGTGAAATAATCTGTCTGTAAACAATTGTTGTCAGTGCACAAAGTACAGTGAGGGGAAAAAGTATTTGATCCCCTGCTGATTTTGTACGTTTGCCCACTGACAAAGACATGATCAGTCTATAATTTTAATGGTAGGTTTATTTGAACAGTGAGAGACAGAATAACAACAACAAAATCCAGAAAAATGCATGTCAAAAATGTTATAAATTGATTTGCATTTTAATGAGGGAAATAAGTATTTGACCCCTCTGCAAAACATGACTTAGTACTTTGTGGCAAAACCCTTGTTGGCAATCAGAGGTCAGACGTTTCTTGTAGTTGGCCAAAAGACAGCGAGTTGAGTTGATGCCGAAGAGCTCAATTTTGGTCTCGTCTGACCACAACACTTTCACCCAGTTCTCCTCTGAATCATTCAGATGTTCATTGGCAAATTTCAGACTGGCCTGTATATGTGCTTTCTTGAGCAGGGGGACCTTGCGGGCGCTGCAGGATTTCCGTCCTTCACGGCGTAGTGTGTTACCAATTGTTTTCTTGGTGACTATGGTCCCAGCTGCCTTGAGATCATTGACAAGATCCTCCCGTGTAGTTCTGGGCTGATTCCTCACCGTTCTCATGATCATTGCAACTCCACGAGGTGAGATCTTGCATGGAGTCCCATGCCGAGGGAGATTGACAGGTCTTTTGTGTTTCTTCCATTTGCGAATAATCACACCAACTGTTGTCACCTTCTCACCAAGCTGCTTGGCGATGGTCTTGTAGCCCATTCCAGCCTTGTGTAGGTCTACAATCTTGTCCCTGACATCCTTGGAGAGCTCTTTGGTCTTGGCCATGGTGGAGAGTTTGGAATCTGATTGATTGATTGCTTCTGTGGACAGGTGTCTTTTATACAGGTAACAAACTGAGATTAGGAGCAGTCCCTTTAAGAGTGTGCTCCTAATCTCAGCTCGTTACCTGTATAAAAGACACCTGGGAGCCAGAAATCTTTCTGATTGAGAGGGGGTCAAATACTTATTTCCCTCATTAAAATGCAAATCAATTTATAACATTTTTGACATGCGTTTTTCTGGATTTTTTGGTTGTTATTCTGTCTCTCACTGTTCAAATAAACCTACCATAAAAATTATAGACTGATCATTTCTTTGTCAGTGGGCAAACGTACAAAATCAGCAGGGGATCAAATACTTTTTTCCCTCACTGTAGATGTCCTAACCGACTTGCCAAAACTATAGTTTGTTAACAAGAAATGTGTTTTAATGACTCCAACCTAAGTGTATGTAAACTTCCGACTTCAACTGTATATATGTATGTATGTATGTATGTATGTATGTATGTGTGTATATATATATATATATATATATGCACGTACACATGCACTTGCACACACACCTCTGTTAGCGGAATGTCCGGTACCAGGTCGATTATCATGTTAAACCTTACACACAATATTCTCTACACACAAATGCTGAAGTCTCTCTTCCATGTCATCCCTCAGATCCACAACTCCGATGGAACTCTGGCAGGCTTCTCTGCGCAGGGATTGGACGATGGCTCGGGCCAAATCCATCTCATCCAGGACGGTAGCCACGGCAATATCGGAATCAGCGTCGCCACGACGACAACCTCTGACCTCCTAACGCAGGCTGGGCATATGCAGCAGATTCAGGGCTTGTCATTGGCAGGGGGCACGGCCTATAGCGGCGCGGTTCCCATGGGGCTGTCGGGGGGAAACATAACTTTCCTCCCTATCAACAGCATCGACCTCGAATCGCTAGGGCTTGCCGGCGCTCAGACGGTTCCCATAGCAACGACGACCGACGGTCAGCTGATCATGGGCAGCCAAGCGCTGGACGGGCAGGAAGGTGGTTCCAAACAGCTAGCGACGCTAGTTAGTGAGGCTAACGGTAACCCAGACCTCTACGTGCCAACAACCTCCTCCTCATCATCCCAGCTGCCTGAAACCATCGACGGGACGGGGGTTCTGACCCAAGCTACTGCCGTGTCTGCCGGGGTTTCAGACCCATCCTCAGAGAACTACAACTCCCACAACCACCTGCAGCAAATACAGGTCAGTCCTATGACATAGAATTCCATAGGCTTATTAACAGCGCCGTACACCACATATAACAGTCATATTTCAGTGAGCCATGATACAGGAAAAAAGTTACTAGTCTTGTTTAGCTTGTCTTCAGCAGGTCATATCATATTACGATGGACACTGTTCTAAGAGCATGGCTGAAAAAAGACCATGCCTGAACTAAGTCTATCTTTTATCCAGGTGTCCACCTCTAATGCCTCGTCCCTCTCCCAGCCCATCCTCCAGCTGTCGGGGGACAACCAGGGGGACCAGGGACAGGATCTATCCCAGTCTGGGCAGACGCTCCAGAGCGTCCAACTAGTCAACCCGGGAACCTTCCTCATCCAGGCCCAGACAGTCACTGCTTCAGGACAGATACAGTGGCAGACCTTTCAGGTAGGTTGTGTGTGGGCGTGTGTGTATATCTGTTTGACTACCGTACGTAGGTGTGTGGGATCATACATGTGTAACTCTTTCGAACTCTCTCTCTCAGGTCCAAGGTGTCCAGTCTCTGCAGGGCCTCCAGCTCCCCCAGGCCCAAGGGGGCCAGCAGCTGACTCTAGCCCCAGTCCAGGGCCTCTCTATGGGGCAGGGAGGATCCATCACCCTGCCTAACCTCCAGACTGTTACAGTCAACTCTATAGGACAGCCAGGGATTCAATACACACAGGGAGAGGAGGCCAGCAGTCCTGCAGGTAGGAACATGCATACATACACACACACACACACACATACAAACTCTCCATCTTTCTCTTTCTTTCTTACTGTCTCACACTCCGTCTCTCACACACACACATACACACATTCTAACTCTCTCTCCCCATAGACATCCAGATAAAGGAGGAGCCAGACTCTGAAGAGTGGCAGCTGAGTGGTGACTCCACCCTCAACCCCAGTGACCTCAACAACCTGCGTGTCCAGATGGATGACGAAGACATGGACATGTCCACCGGGGAGGGCAAGAGGCTGAGGAGAGTCGCCTGCACCTGTCCCAACTGTAAAGAGGCTGGAGGGAGGTGGGTTAGAAAGACAAGCACAATATATTAACACAAATATATATAAAAAGGGTGGATCCTAGGCTTTAGCTCAGTGGGTTAATGTGGTCGAACCTGGTTATATACTCAGTAGGGTCAGTTTCAACCATGACAATTGAAATTCAAATGACTGCAAGATGTTGACTTTGTGTGTGTGACCCCAACCCTCTCTCTCATCACCCCTTCCCCCAGAGGGTCGAGTCTTGGTAAGAAGAAGCAGCATATCTGTCATATCGTGGGCTGTGGGAAAGTGTACGGTAAGACCTCTCACCTCAGGGCTCACCTTAGATGGCACAGCGGAGAACGGCCCTTCGTCTGCAACTGGATGTTCTGTGGCAAGCGGTTTACCAGGAGTGACGAGCTACAGAGACACAGACGGACACACACTGGTAGGAATACACACGAACACCATCTTCACTACATAACACAACCTTAACCCTCACCACACTTATTCTTTCATCACTCTCTCTTTATCTTCCTTTCATCCCTCTTTCTCATTCCAGGAGAGAAGAAGTTTGTGTGTGGAGAGTGTTCAAAGAGGTTCATGCGTAGTGACCATCTGGCCAAACATATAAAGACTCACCAGAACAAAAAAGGTGTGGCTTCCTCCTCATTGTCTCCGCCCCCCAGCAACACCATCATCACCGCAGACGGAACCACCCTCATCCTTCAATCAGCTTCTGGCGCTCATGACCTCCTAGGCAATCAGGAGATCCCTCTGCAGCTGGTCACCGTGGCGCCCGGTGAGGTCATGGAATGAGGGCGTGGCTTATAGACTGGCCAATAAACAGGGACCTTGTGGGCTTTTTTCTCCCCGTCCCCCCCTTTTTTTTATATATATGAATATATATACGTAAATATATATGACAAATATATATATATTTTAAGTAAGAGTTATCATGACTTTATGTTAGTTATTTGCAGTCTTTTTATAGGCTGGCAAAACAAATGACATTCAATGTGGTCACTATATACACACAAACGAAGACGCATACACACACTCTCGCAAACATGAATACTCACACAATGAAATGCCTTATTTTGTATCATACTCTGTTGTATAAAATGCTGGAGATGCATGTGTTTTTTAAGCTTTTGCAGATCATGTAATTGTGTCTGTCAATCATAATGATGATGGTTAGGATGCAGGGAATAGGAAAAGTGTAGTAGCCCTCTGTCTCTCTAGAGCAGGGTTTCCCAAACTCGGTCCTGGGGTAGCCCCTGGGTGCACGTTTTGGTTTTTGCCCTAGCACTACACAGCTGATTCAAATAACCAAGTCATCGTCAAGCTTTGATTATTTGAATGAGCTGTGTAGTGCTAGGGCAAAAACCAGGACCAAGTTTGGGAAACCCTGCTCTAGAGCAATCGATCGATTGAATAATTGATTATATTGAATCATCAATCGCTTTCTCTAGAGGGCCTGTGTAGGTGTCTGTGTATTGAGAGAGACTACAGGTGGCTTCATTAACTCTTCACCTGAAGCGATAAGCATAACATCATTTTAAGACCTTCTGAACACTGTCATAGCCATAGGCATGATATAACACTTTAATTATAAAACACTATGACAGAGTTTGTAACAACCAATATCTACATAATGTCAGACCTTTGTAATGTGGTGGTAGAGTTGGGCCTGCACATTGATTCTCCAACGCATACCTTTATTTGTTAACAATGTTCTGATCAATTAATGTTTGGATTGATGGAAACTTTGCTAACCAATAAAAGTATGTCTGTGTGTGGACACTATTTTATTTCTATGTGGATTTTTTTCCAGCCCTGCACCTCATGAAAGTGATGTGACCTCATGCTATTAAAGCTTGTGTCATGTGACATGCCCTGTTGTTTCAGGTGAAGCGTTATTAGCTGTTTGACTGAGTAGGTGGTAAAAGTTGTCCATACATGCTGATCTAGGGTCAGTTTAGCGTTAACCACCCCTAATGTTTGAGGTTAGGATTTGGAGAAGGTAAGCTGATCCTAGATCTGTGCCTGAAGGAAACTTTGACCCACAGCAGAATGTTTGATTCATCAGTCTAGCCAACCAACACGAGCACACTTACACTGCTTGCTCAAGTCAAATGTGTCTTCTATTAACTGTAGTTTATTTTTGTTATATTTTTCACCTTTTTGTTGTATAGTCACATTTTATATTCTGTTCCTATGACTAGCGTAGTCTGGGTCCTGTCAGAAGGAAGCATTTCAGATCGGTTTTTACCCATGGAATTAAAATGAGTTAAAAGTCACAGGTCTGAAAATCAAGTCGATTTTTCTATTGCCCACCCAAAATGGCGGCAACATTTTGAACTTGCCATTTTTGCATTTCTGGAACAGTCGAGGTTCACTGACCAGTACATTGAACATTTGAAATGGTACATCAAATATGGCCGCCAGAGCACGCACCCACTGCAAAATATTTAGTGCAGTCCGATTATCTACCCTTCTCCTGAAGTGTGTACTCGTTCACTCACCCTAATGGATTTAAATGGAATGTATTGGATTATGGTGGAAACTTCCTCCAGACATCTTTCTACCAATCCAATGCACACATCTGGGTGAAGGGTAGAATCTGAATTGCAATATTCTGTTCTACTCATTCTAATTCTATAGTGTTTTCACTGCTCTCTGGCTAGTTGCTACTCATTGTAAAGGAAGCAATCACGCCATTATTATTATTATTTCTAAATGTTATTGTAATCTTTCCTGTCAGTATGTCCATGTCTTAGCATCCACTTACCTGTATATTATTATCTTCTATTCACATTGTTTATAGAAGCCATTTTCTTTAGGTAAATAATGTTGTATCTAAAGCTTATTTTAATTGTTTTTTTTAAAGTGAAAATTTGAATGTTACTTTTTGTAAAACCTTTTTTCAAATGGATAATAATTAAAGTCTGAATCCTTCCAATGACAGACTGTGTGTGCGTGCTTGCCTGTGTGTGTCATACTAGTTATTGTAAAGTCAGTTACAGCAAAGATTATTCCTCTCTGGTTACAACAATCTTTGGTTGCAGTACTTCTGAAAACAGTAGGTGGCAGCAGAGCCATGTGGGTGGCAGGATTACGTCCATTGACATCCACGAAGAAGAACGGTTTGTTTTCAACAATGGTTTTTACGAAGAAGAAACTGCAGGTTTGTTGTAATAAATATGCTGTGGTGACTTTCGCAGTTGGTTGCATTATGTTCTTAATAGGTAATTTAAATAAGAGGCAAAGACAGTAAATGTAGCGAACTTAAACGTTATCTGACTGTCACTTCATTGCAAGAGCTAGTAAGTATCCTAGCCATATACGACTCAACCAAATATTTTTATAACTAACCGAAGATAGACCAGAGCCTGTGGTTTCCAATGGTAGCAAATGTATCATAGTGGGCAGAACAAGCAAGAAGGTGGGCGAGCCAATATTGTCGCATTTATTTGCATATTTCCGTTGGGGAACGCCTACTCTGTGATGTGCGCGTGTGCAATAACTAAATTTGCCCTTGCCCTCCTTCAAAACAACGCCATTTAAATAAAAAATGTTTTGCAAAGGGTAAAGTCTACAAAAACGTACTCCACTCTGTTTGTTAGAGATTGTAGTTTTTTTAAACAGAAAACTGTATGGAGATCAAATGTTTCATCAATTACAAAATTAGCAGAATGTCGGCCAAAATGTTATATCTATGAGTCAACAACAGATGAAAGGGGTTTAGTTATATTTTACTAAAGTTGCTAGCTAGTAGTAGTGTAGCCTATTTTGTACCCGCGTGTGCGAAAATTGAATCCTTGATTTCAAGACGGCTGAAAATCGCTCGGTTCGCATTTTGATAGCCTAGGCAGCCGATAGTGCATGGGGTCTAGATCTACACTATCGGCTGGTGCACGACTCCAGGTCTCCTGTGGTTGGAGTCGACTCTCGCTCGAATCCGACTCTTGTGGTTGGAGTCGACTCTTACTCGACTCTCAAAACACTGAAACACATACGTACATACCACTTCATTATTACAGGCCTACTAGGAAGACTACATTTGCGTTCTAGAGGTTGACATGAGCATGATGCTGCCCATTTGCTCATCAACTTAATCTATAAAAGGCCTATTTTATTTGAATATAGAAGGTGATGTGTTGGAACTACAATATGTAGTTCCTACACTTTGATTTGATGTGTGCTGTGTAAAGACTTGACGGATAAAATGGGATGATGCAGCTGATACGCCTATTATTTGCCATGCTTTAGCCCTATTCGGACGGGTATTATTAGAAACGTTGGTTTTGTCATTATTATCCAAGCATGTGCTTTGTTCCAGATTTCTCCCCTGAGAGTGAGCTAGGTGTTGCGAGGCGCACCACGTTTCATCAAATATGTTTTATAACTAAACCAAGATAGACCACAGCCTGTCGTTTCTAATGGGAACAAATTAGCCATAGTGGGCAGAACACGCAACGAGAGGGGCAGAGCCAAGCACGAGCTAGCGAGATCCTATTGGCGCGTTCTAGCATCTGCATATTTCCGTTAGGGAACGCCTACTCTGAAGTGCCATTGAGCAATAATTAAATTCGCCTTTGCACCCCTGAACAACGCGATTTTTAAAAACCTTTGCAAAGGGTAAAGTGTAGTCCACTCTGTTCATGACATATTCTAGTTTTGGGAACAGAAAACTGTATTGAGATCAAATGTTTCATCGATAAGAAAATGTGCAGAATGTCGGCCAAAATCCATAATGTTCCGTGTTGGTCCCATGTTTCATGTGCTGAAATAAAATATCCTAAGAATTTTCCATATGCACAAAAAGCTTATTTCTCTCAAATGTTGTGCACACATTTGTTTACGTCCCTGTTAGTGAGCATTTCTGGGATCTTTTATAAACGGACAGATCTGTTGCACTACTTAAAGTAGGCTACATACAGTAACTGTGCTAGCTTCCAGTGACTATCCTAGTTTCCCTTGGAAACTCACTTTTCAGCTATTACAATGCGGTCGTGCACAGTGTGTAGCTGGGGTTACTAGTTTTCTGTTGTACTTACAGTTAAGACAGTAACCTAGTTTTTCCTGGAAACTCACATTACAGCTATATTACACTGCTGTTTTTCACACAGTGCATAGCTGGGTTGGTGCATGATAGTTTCTGTTACACTACGTTATTGTACATACAGTAACTATCCTAGCTAGTTTCACTTGGAAACTCACAACAGCTCTATTACACTGAGGGTTTCAGTATATAGCTGGGTTTCATATAGTTATGTTACACTACTTCACAGTACAGACAGTAACTATCCTAGTTTCCCTTAGAAATTCAAATAGCAGCTACATTACACTGCTGGGCTTACGCAGTGTGTAGCTGGGGTTGCCATATTCTTTTGTTACACTGCAGGATATACACTACCCATCTCTTCTTCCCACTGAGAGAAACTACCATTTCCAGTATGGCTTTTCGCCTTGAGAAATGTAAGGTGTCCGTCCCTGCCCACAGGCAGCGGACTGCGTCTAAGAAGGATGGCATTCTGCAGTCATCCTGAGGTGCTTGCCGCTGGCATTGGCAGCTTCTCAAAGGCCCAAAGGCCAAACTGAGAGAGGCAAGTGGAGTCCCCATGGGCACTGAATACAGTGATGGAAGGCTACGAACTCCAATTCCGATGCTGGCCACCGCTATCGTTCTGGCACCTCAAATGTCTCAGGGTCTAGTGTTGATGCCCTGGTTGACTGATTGTTTCCGAATGAGTTCAGATGAAGGAGCATCAACCTACATCCTAACCCCTCATTCTGGCCAAGGGTTCTGTCTGACAGACACGTTGACCGGCCATTACAGTTGTCCACATACGCCCCGCTTGCTGTTGCGGGTGAACTAGGGGCTTCCCCCAGTGTGTTGTGCCCGGCTAGGGCAATGGACTCTTTTCACAGACGCAGGCAATATGAAAGCTTTATCCGTTTTTGTTTACTATGGTGAGAGTTCTGGGCCAGGGCCTATCCGACTGGACTCTCACATTGCATGTTGGACACTGTTACTGCAGCATTTCAGCCTTTTGCTGTGGTGGCACATTCTACTGGAGGAGTAACTGTCTGGACGATTGGATAGTCTGCCCCATCCAGGGAACAGGCCACAACGGACACGAGGACCCTCATGAACCACATTTGAGTTCTGGGCCTCACCCTAAACGAGGAGAAGATTCACCTGACCCCCTCACGGAAGGTGATCTACCTCGGGATGTCCATAGACTCGACTCTGCATGAGGGCACGTCTCCCTCAGGTGAGAGTAACAAAATCCTATCCTACCTCAACCATTTCCCGCTCGGACGAACAATGTCGGTGTTAGAATGCCAGCAGTTACTCGGCCTACTGACGGTGACTTCACTGTTGGTTCCGCTGGGCATTCTCCACATTTAGGCCTAATGAAACTGATGCATTTGGCAATGTTCAACTTCAATTCACTGGCATTATGGAGAATAGCTTAGCCATACTCATTGATAGCCTAATATATACTTTTGGTGAATTTACGGGGCATTGCTAGACAAGACATTGCGAGAAACAGATAACCAAGATATAGCCTATGCGCATAGTTCCGACTGTCTGTCTGCCTGTCCCGATCCTCTCTCTCCCTCGCTGGCTCGCCTGCTCTTTCTCTTTCGCTATGAAAAACGCTAGTGTGTGTTTGGTCTCGGGCTGTGGTGTGTGGAATAGCTCAGCCTACTCATTGATAGCCCCTACTTTAGTGAACTTGCGCCGAGACATTGCCTACATGTTTTGATTACCGATGCACGGTTCTGACTGTCTGCCTGGTGGCCAACATGTCTAGTGCCTGGCTGGGCCCCTCCTATCTCTCTCTCTCTCTCTCTCTCTCTCTCTCTCCCTCGCTAGCTGGCTCTTTCTTTGTTGTGAAAGATGCGATTGTTTCTGTTCTCGAAGTAGACTACGACAACTAGTTTCCTCCAATTGAAAATACAGAATCTTAGGAGTCGAGGAGTCGATTCCTAGCAGAATCAAAGCTTGACACCCAGAAATGAGAGTCGACACAAGGAGTCTACGGGCAAAGAGTCGAGGAAATCGATTATTTTGGAGTCGACTCCCAACCACTACCTAGGCTACCATTTCGGAGTGTAGCATGAAAAGGGTATTCATTCTGTCAAACCATGCCGTGTGTGTTTTTGAATAAATATTATATTTCATATTAAGAGGTTGTGACCCCATGGAGTAGCTAGGGGTGTTGGGCTGACAATGAGAGTCACAAAGTGTAGGGCCCTCAAATTCCAATCTGGACCTCAAAGGCAGTTCCACTGCTTCCCTCTGATTTATACCTGGGACACTGCAGCATGTGGTTGCTCCGGACCTCATAGGGTAAGATTTGAATACCCCTGGTCTAGAGGTTCAAGCCCTGTTTGGGACTGCCCCTTGACTTTGCTACATTAGTGTCAGATGTGGAACACCCTCAGCGGGTTTGATACCAACCGGATGCATCAATTTTTCAGGGGAAATTGAAAGAGAGCCTGTGACGCGACTTCTGCTTTCGGATATTAACAAGGCGACACTCCATCTTAAATCCTCCTCCACATTTACTGGATTGGATGAGTAGTGCAGAAGAGAACTTCCCCCGACAGTTTCTTTCCCTCGTCAGGACCAGAAATAATTTACATCTGCTACGTTAGATGTTGGATGGCCCCCGATTGTGACCATTGAGAGCTTGTTCCAAGGGTGCAGGCGTGAGGATCCGTTCTCTGAGGGAAGGGGTTATCAGGCACAGGCAGTTGTTGGCAACTTAATTGGGGATGACGTGCTCATAGTAATTACCGGAACAATTTCAATGGAATGGTATTAAACACATGGTTTCCACTTTCCATTAGATACCACTCCATTCCAGCCATTATTATGTGCTGTCCTCCCCTCACCTCGGGACCTGACCTCGTCAATTGACAGTCGCAAGGTCCCAGGTTCAAGCCCCAGTCAGGATTACTTTGTTAGATATGAAACGGAGGATCAAATAATTATAATTTAAAAAAGATTGGTTGGATAGGTAACCATGTGACTGGCCCCTGTGCCCAACTTCTATGTCAGGCAAAATATATTAGTTACAAACAATCTGCAAAGATTGAGGCTGCAGGTAGCCTAGTGGTTAAGTGCGTTGGGCCATTAGCCGAAAGGTTGCTGGTTCGAATCCCCGAGCCAGCAAGGTACAAATATCTGCATTTGAGCAAAGCAGTTAACCCTGAATGACAACTGCTCTCCGGACGCCGATGACGTCGATTAAGGTAGCCCCCCGCACCTCTCTCATTCACAGGGTTTGTGTTAAATGCGTAAGACAAGACGGGAGGTAATGTTATGCTGCTTTTTGACTCCCCCTCTCTTTCTCTCTACATCTACTCTCCTGCTCCCTCTCTTTTTCTATCCCCTCATGTCTTTTATTCATTCGTTTTTTGGCTGGGACCACGTTAGACCAAGCAGGGTTTGAACAAAAGCATGAGGGGATAAAAAAGGTGTTCATGTCTCTGGCAAGGTGACTCTTCACGTGAACCTAGTTCACCACACCACCTCAGTTACACGTAAATTGGTTATAGTTTAGTTCAGTGCTACACATGGCCAGACGGGGCAAACTAGTTAGCAAGCACTGATCATTCTTATTTTGACAGAGAATGGCATTGGAGAAGGACAGGGAGGGACCGTTGAGACAAGCAAAGACAGCTGAGAATGTGAGATCGTTCTCCTGGGAGGAAGTTCTTGCATTCTAAGCTGTCTGAGGGCACTGTTGACCAAACCTGAGAAGGTCCGGTAAGTGTGTATGAAACCCAATGTGCCTCATAAAATTCATAATGCAACGTGAATGCAAAGTTGCAGCAACGCTGCATTCATTTTGGTGTCACATTTGGAAAGAAAGGGCTTTGTTGTGTTAATTTCTGTTTACAAACTGTAGCTATTAATTAATATACATATTTTAAATACACAATATACCTATATTTTATATTTAAAGGCCCAGTGCAGTCAAATATTTGATTTTCTTGTGTTTTACTGAGTATACAAAACATGAATAACACCCGCTCTTTCCATGACATAGACTGACCAGGTTATTCCAGGTGAAAGCTATGATCCCTTATTGATGTCACAACAATTCACCTGACACAAGACTGAATCCAAACATTACACTGTTGATTTTGTGCATTTTACATTTACTGTACTTTTCGCTGCATTTGTTGATAACAACATCTGAACATATTCTGGAGACATTCAGTAATATGATAAGAATATTCCTGGAAAATGTGGTGTAGGTGCAACATAAGACAAAAACATTACAAGGATTTGAGTAAGAGGACCAAGTTGCCACACACCTCTCCAAAGTGTGCACAGTTCCCAAGTCATTTCAATGTCCTCACTATAAGGTGCTTTTTGAGCTCTCCTAGCTGTGCCGTTGAGGAACTAGAGCAAGCGCACTTGTAGTTGTTTTGTTTGGAACACAACCCTGCATCTCCGCCATCACACAATTATGTATTGTTGTTTACCCAAAAACGGCCCGTTATAAATCGCAATCTAGGTCAGCTGGAAAGCTTGTTCTATTGCCAACATGACTAGCTAAGTTATAGAATATGATCTTACAGTGTTAGGCTTTCACAGGGCAATTCAGATAAATGTTGGTGCGCATGGAAAGGAGTCATGAGTGCATTCAGGGTCGTGTTCTGAGGATAATTTTCTTCTAAATAGACAAACAGGCTCATTCTGTTCAGAACAACCCGGGGTATGACGCCATGTCATTCTTGTAACTGTAAATCAAACATAGTGATCATAAACGTTGATACTGTATATGACATGAGTTTTGTGATATGGAAATGTGAAGTGCACATTTGGACGTTTGGATGTTTGGTTTGCTTGTATGACATCAAAGCGGTATTTATTATAATCCTCAACATCTCATCTTTCAAAATATAGAGTCCTCTTAATTAACAGCATTTCCCTCACTCAGACAACAAGAAATGTGCAAAAGTTCCCAATTAGCATGAGGGATGGTGGCAACTTCTTGTCGCGTGCGGTGCTGAAGTTCAAAACGGCTGTCAGTCAAAACCCATACAGAGCTGTGAAGGACAGACCCAAATCTGCCATATTCAACCCGTATACAGGTATGAGTGTAAAGGGTTACTAAATCACAGTGGGAGCTTATCAAAGTTGTGAACGGGTATGCATCATTTTTTTGTATTTGACGTTCTGTCATGTTCTATCCAAAACAGGATGTCATCAGAGGGCAAGGATATCATCTACCAGAGGATAGGGCTTCTGCTGGCTATTATCCTCAAGACTAATGCGTCTGCATGTAACTTTGTCCTTTCTGGGATGGGAGTTTGAGACATGGCTGTCCTAAAAGCATGTTTAAAACCCTCTACGCCCTGGGGGTGACAAGTTCCATAAATGTTGCCAGAGCTGCAGCAGAGAGACTCCAGTCTGGGAGGATTATGGAGGAGAGTGGAGAGGATGAAGATGAGGTAAGGTCAAACCAGGGCCCCTTTCCATTCTAAATGAAAGGGACAATTCACTCCAAAGTTTTCATGTCACCAACAGTAGATTCCTGCTGGTTGTGGTTCTAATAAGTCTGTGGTCTGTCCCTGCAGGACTCCTCTTGTGGATCTGAGGAGAGTCTGAGTGCTTCTGAAGAGTCTCACAGTTCTTCCCCGACCCACTCTCTGGCCTGGACCAATCCCACTCCCCAGCTCCATAAAGAGGTGAGAACCACTTCCTGGAGTTGTGGTAACAGGAGATTCTGCGTAGTGAAAACACCTGCTTCTATTTCATCCCTGCTGAACGTGCTACCCTAAGGCTCAATGCTGATTGAGTCCATGTACAATGAATGACTGTAGATCAGTGTGTGGTGTGCGTTTTCTCTCTCTCTCTCTTTATGCCCTCAGGTCCTGGTCTCGTTCCCGTTCTCGTTCCCGATCCCACTCCAAGTAAGAACAGTTCTCTGGTGCACTGATCTCCGTGTTATGTTAGATCAGATTAGCGTGTGTGATAGTTTTCTTTCCCCTCAGGTCTGGTTCCCGCAGGCACTATTCCCGTTCCCACCACCAGCGTTCTCGACCCCACTCCAGGTGAGAAGTGCTCTCTGGAGTTTTGAGTCAGCTATGTTTCCAACATTGATTGGTAGAAAAACTGGATATTTTCTATTAATCCACCAGAGTGAACGCAACACATTTGAATTTTTGTTGTCCATCTCCAGGGGCCTCATTTATCAACCGTGCGTAAATAACAAATGATTGGGATTTATCAAACTGTTGCATGCAACATATACTCATGTTTTCATTGATAAATCAGAGCCATACTATATTTGTGCGGTCATGAATGAGCATTAAAACCCCACCTTGAAAACGCCCTCCATTCACCTTTTATGGTAACAAAAACAACCTCATTTGCTGAATGATTTGGAAATGTTGGAACTGGGCCATGACAGTTCCTTAAAGAAAGAGCAATGGCAAATGTTATCACACTCTGTGTAGGTGTCGGCAGAATGTTTCAATCTTTTGCAATGACTTTTTCATACTCAACATGCATGTGAGTGCCAAACACTGGCTGCACATTCTGCAAGATTGATTGTCTATTCAAGCAATTTAAAAGTAAATGCTACAGCCCACAAGTCTATGCAAAAGACAAACTGCTGTTCAATATTTTGTTTATCGACAGATGATTATGTTTTTAGCTCCTGGCTTGGTATAGGCTCTGGGATTAAATAGGCTATGACGTTGTGCACCTGTTGCACAGCAATTTTATCATTATGTTTTCATTCACATTATGATGAATGATTCCATTTAACCCAAATAACAATGTTTGCTGGCAATACCATTCTTCAAACACTAGAAGTTGAGCGTACACATGGTCTGAGCTGTGCGTGGAGATACACACACTTTCCCGTGAAGTTCAAATGTGATAAATACCAACCTTTGCGGGAAAACTGGCGCGCACAAGGTTTAGTGTTTTTTGTGCGTACGCACCTTTGATAAATGAGGCCCCAGAACTCTTTCCCACAGAAGCTCCCGCAGGCACTACTCCCACTCTCGCTCCCGTTCCCACCACTGGCGTTCTTGGCGCCGTTCCCACAAACCGTCTGCGTCGGAGCCACAGCCATTCCCCCAACCGCAACAGGCACATCGGCAACAGGGTATGTGTACACACACGCGCACACACAAACACACTAAATGTTATGAGTGTAGTTGATGTGATGGTGTGTGTGTTCCAGGGTGTGGAGAGCAGAGTGGAATCAGACAGAGGAAGGAAACGAGCAGTTTCCTCCACCACTGAACCATCAGACACAGACCAGATCCCAACCCCAACCCCCTCAACCAGACACAGACCAGACCCCAACCCCAACCCCTGAGACCTCCAGTCCACAACCCCCTCAACCAGACACAGACCCCACCCCGGGACCTCCTCTGACCAACCAAAGCCGTGAGTGTCTTTTAAACAACATAAAACCTTGCCTGTATAATGCAAAAATGAACTATATGAGTTTAGAATGACCCAACATTTTCCTAACCTCTCATGAAATGTATAAAAGTTTTAATTCTGTAAAAACCCTGAAAGCCAAAAGCCGAAATGCGTTGGTTCTACTTTTAACAATAAATGTAACAATTGTATTTAGTTCCATTGTCCTCATGCACCTCAGTTGGTAAGCGAGGTAGCAGCAGATATCCCTTCCCTAATCTCTCATGTGTCCATTCAGCAGAAACGGCTCCAAGACATATGACGTTCTGCATCTGACCAATGCCTCAAGGGCATACCACAAGATGTGCAAAGACAGAGGCTACTGCAGAGGACAGACGTGAGTCAGTGTTTGGTGTTTAGTAATCCTCTAGTCCTCCAGATGTCTTTGGACATCTTCTTATAAGCTAACAAATATGTTTTGCTCTCCTCCTCATTTGCAGGGCCCAGAGTTGTTCCTGCTCATGGGTAGTGCCCAGAGTCTTTCCTTGACCACATGACTTGACCAGGAAAAACGTCTGCCCATGTCTCACTGTTCCCCCATGTCTCCTCAGGACTTTGCTGGCCCATTGGAAAACACCTGCTGAAGAACCAAAGCCTCCAAAAGGGAAGACAAAAAAGAAACCTGCTCAAACATCCCAAAAAAGAACAAACAACGAACCATCTCAGAAGCACAAAACACAACAGGCAAAGAAACCACACTGTAGTCGCAAGCCCAAGAAGAGGAGGATAAAGAAAGCTGCCAAAACTCCCCAAAATACAGACACAAACAAAGAATTTGCTCAAATACCAGACACAAACGAAGACGTCTCTCAAATTCTCCCAATAAGGGAAGTGGACATGGAGGCTACTGAAACATGGGACGCAGCGGACATTCTGACCTACAAGATTCTATGACATCCAATGGGTTCTCTCTCGCTTACTTACACACACACACACCAGTGCGCAGTACACAAAGACTCCTGTTTCAATCTTTTTTTACCAGAAATGTTGCTGAAGAAATGGTTTCTCTTTATTGATTTATATACAGTGGTGTGAAAAAGTGTTTGCCCCCTTCCTGATTTGTTATTTGTTTGCATGTTTGTCACACATAAATGTTTCAGATCATCAAACAAATTTAAATATTAGTCAAAGATAACACAAGTAAACACAAAATGCAGTTTTGATATGAAGGTTGTTATTATTAAGGGAAAACAAAATCCAAACCTACATGGCCCCGTGTGAAAAAGTGTTTGCCCCCCCTGTTATAACACAACTCAACTGTGGTTTATCACACCTGAGTTCAATTCCTCTAGCCACACCCAGGCCTGATTACTGCCACACCTGTTCTCAATCAAGGAATCACTTAAATAGGACCTGCCTGACAAAGTGAAGTAGACCAAAAGATCCTCAAAAGCTAGACATTGTGCCGAGATCCAAAGAAATTCAGGAACAAATGAGATCCATCAGTCTGGAAAAGGTTATAAAGCCATTTCTAAAGCTTTGGGACTCCAGCGAACCACAGTGAGAGCCATTATCCACAAATAGCGAAAACATGGAACAGTGGTGAACCTTCCCAGGAGTGGCCGGCCGACCAAAATTACCCCAAGAGCGCAGCGACGACTCATCCAAGAGGTCACAAAAGACCCCATAACAACATCCAAAGAGCTGCAGGCCTCACTTGCCTCAGTTAAGGTCAGTGTTCATGACTCCACCATAAGAAAGAGACTGGGCAAAAATGGCCTGCATGGCAGAGTTCCAAGACAAAAACCACTGCTGAGCAAAAATAACATTAAGGCTCGTCTCATTTTTGCCAGAAAACATCTTGATGATCCCCAAGACCTTTGGGGAAATACTCTGTGGACTGACGAGACAAAAGTTGAACTTTTTGGAAGGTGTGTCCCATTACATCTGGCGTAAAAGTAACACCGCATTTCAGAAAAATAACATCATACCAACAGTAAAATATGGTGGTGGTAGTGTGATGGTCTGGGCCTGTTTTGCTGCTTCAGGACCTGGAAGACTTGCTGTGATAAATGGAACCATGAATTCTGCTGTCTACCAAAAAATCCTGAAGGAGAATGTCCGGCCATCAGTTCGTGACCTCAAGCTGAAGCGAACTTGGGTTCTGCAGCAGGACAATGATCCAAAACACACCAGCAAGTCCACCTCTGAATGGCTGAAGAAAAACAAAATGAAGACTTTGGAGTGGCCTAGTCAAAGTCCTGACCTGAATCCTATTGAGATGCTGTGGCATGACCTTAAAAAGGCAGTTCATGCTCGAAAACCCTCCAATGTGGCTGAATTACAACAATTCTGCAAGGATGAGTGGGCCAAAATTCCTCCACAGCGCTGTAAAAGACTCATTGCAAGTTATCGCAAACACTTGATTGCAGTTGTTGCTGTTAAGTGTGGCCCAACCAGTTATTAGGTTGTAGGGGGCAATCACTTTTTCACACAGGGCCATGTGGGTTTGGATTTTGTTTTCCCTTGATGATAACAATCTTCATTTCAAAACTGCATTTTGTGTTTACTTGTGTTATCTTTGAGTAATATTTAAATTTGTTTGATGATCTGAAACATTTAAGTGTGACAAACATGCAAACAAATAAGAAATCAGGAAGGAGGCAAACACTTTTTCACACAACTGTATATTTATATATATATTCTTTTATTATTTTTCTATTTTTTTATTAGGGGGTAAATCAGCTTTAATATTGCAGATAGATTGTAACTTCCATCAATGTAATTGTCTGCATCACTTCCAATCCCCCATATATATTTTTTGCAAATACGTACGTACATACATACACATATAAATACCTACACTACCAGTCAAAAGTTTGGACACACCTACTAATTTAAGTGTTTGCAAAGCTGTCATCAAGGCAAAGCTATTTGAAGAATATAAAATATGAAATATATTTTGATTTGTTTAGCACTCTTTTGGTTACTACATGATTCCATATGTGTTATTTCATAGTTTTGATGTCTTCACTATTATTCTACAATGTAGAAAATAGTAAAAAAAAATAAAGAAAAACCCTGGAATGAGTAGGTGTGTCCAAACTTTTGACTGGTACTGTACATATATACATACATACATACATGCATGCATGCATATATATACATATACAGTTGAAGTCGGAAGTTTACATACACCTTAGCCAAATACAATTAAACTCTGTTTTTCACAATTCCTGACATTTAATCCTAGTAAAAATTCCCTGTCTTATGTCAGTTAGGATCACCACTTTATTTTAAAAATGTGACATGTCACAATAATAGTAGAGAGAATGATTTATTTCAGCTTTTATTTCTTTCATCACATTCCCAGTGGGTCAGAAGTTTACATACACTCAATTAGTATTTGGTAGCATTGCCTTTAAATTGTTTAACTTGGGTCATACGTTTTGGGTAGCCTTCCACAAGCTTCCCACAATAAATTGGGTGAATTTTGGCCCATTCCTCCTGACAGAACTGGTGTAACTGAGTCAGGTTTGTAGGCCTCCTTGCGCGCACACGCTTTTTCAGTTCTGCCCACACATTTTCTATAGGATTGAGGTCAGGGCTTTGTGATGGCCACTCCAATACCTTGACTTTGTTGTCCTTAAGCCATTTTGCCACAACTTTGGAAGTATGCTTGGGGTCATTGTCTATTTGGAAGACCCATTTGCGACCAAGCTTTAACTTCCTGATTGATGTCTTGAGATGTTGCTTCAATATATACACATCATTTTCCTTCCTCATGATGCCATCTATTTTGTGAAGTGCACCAGTCCCTCCTGCAGCAAAGCACCCCCACAGCATGATGGTGCCACCCCCTTACTTCACGGTTGGGATGGTGTTCTTCGGCTTGCAAGCGAACCCCTTTTTTCCTTCAAACATAACGATGGTCATTATTTCATCAGACCAGAGGACATTTCTCCAAAAAGTACAATCTATGTCCCCATGTGCAGTTGCAAACCGTAGTCTGACTTTTTTATGGGCGTTTTTTGAGCAGTGGCTTCTTCCTTGCTGAGCGGCCTTTCAGGTTATGTCAATATAGGACTCGTTTTACTGTGGATATAGATACATTTGTACCTGTTTCCTCCAGCATCTTCACAAGGTCCTTTGCTGTTGTTCTGGGATTGATTTGCACTTTTCGCACCAAAGTACATTCATCTCTAGGAGACAGAACGCGTCTCCTTCCTGAGCGGTATGACGGCTGCGTGGTCCCATGGTGTTTATACTTGCGTACTATTGTTTGTACAGATGAACGTGGTACCTTCAGGCGTTTGGAAATTGCTCCCAAGGATGAACCAGACTTGTGGTGGTCTACAATGTTTTTTCTGAGGTCTTGGCTGATTTATTTTGATTTTCCCATGATGTCAAGCAAAGAGGCACTGAGTTTGAAGGTAGGCCTTGAAATACATCCACAGGTACACCTTCAATTGACTCAAATGATGTCAATTAGCCTATCAGAAGCTTCTAAAGCCATGACATCATTTTCTGGAATTTTCCAAGCTGTTTAAATGCACAGTCAACTTAGTGTATGTAAACCCTGACCCACTGTAATTGTGATACAGTGAATTATAAGTAAAATAATCTGTCTGTAAACAATTGTTGGAAAAATTACTTGTGTCATGCACAAAGTAGATGTCCTAACCGACTTGTCAAAACTATAGTTTGTTAACGAGAAATTTGTGGAGTGGTTGAAAAACAAGTTTTAATGACTCCAGCCTAAGTGTATGTAAACTTCTGACTTCAACTGTATATACATATCCTTTAAAAAAATATATTTACCTTTATTACTTTCTAACACTACTACCCCTCCCCTAATTGGAGCAAACTAGTGAACAACAACGCTTAGGCCTCTACTTCCAGCTCATACATACTATATACATTTTATGGACACAGTCAATTTTACAATAGTTCTATTTTGTTTGTTTTTACTCCTGAACTTCCTCTACCCTCAACCTCTCCGATCATTTTTATGATGTCCATTCGGTTTGCTTCTATATGCCATATCTTTCAAACTGTGCTCTTTCACAAAAGTTCTTAACCTATAACCTATATACGTATTATGGACTCAGTATGGTTTCTCTTTATTTGTTGTTTTTCTTTTGAAAACTTATGTTGGTGAATGTTTCATGAAACAAAGTTAGATTTCAGAATCAAGAGTTGTACATAGATACTTTTTAATAGAAAACAAATGTAGACATACAGTTTCTCAAACAGAGGTTGTTCTCTACTGGTTAAGACCATGGTCAGTTGTGGTACGTTGGTATCAGTTTTAAGTGTATTCAAACGTATTTTCTTAGTTTGACCCCCTGGTAAATGCAAGGACTTGGGACTGAAAACCTGAAAAACTAAACATTTTGTATAAAAACATTGTAAATATTTTTGTTGTTGAATTATTTATTGTGTATAGTTTATCACTGGATCAACACGTTTAGTGCTATCCGGGAGCCTTGGGCCGTCCCTACCAAAGATTATGGATATACAAGATAATGGATATACACGTCTCTCTGCCATGACAATGGGAGTCGTTGTCCACAAAGCGGCACGGCGGTCTGTCTAGCTCCCGTCTTTCTTTGGATTGGTGGAGACATCTCATTATTGTAATCCATTTTTTGAAAATTTGATGAGGGTTGTTGACGTCAACCGCCGGTATTCAATGGACAGATATATGCTACAAGCCTCATAACATGAATATGGATAGCCATCTCCGATATAAAGTGTTTTTTCTCAAAGTTGCTGGAATGTCACGTGTCCTACTTATATCAGTACACTCGTAACAACTTAATCATTACCAAACTTATATTCGATCAAATAGACCTCAGGTAACAAATAAGCCATTCATTTTTTTGTTGACCAAATTCGACACTCATTGACCTCCATACAAAAACTCCTTGCTTGGTGGGCGAAACAACGAAAAAAACGCCACCTGCTGGAGGGAGACCGGTTTTCCGCAAAATTGGGCCACTCTCTTCCAACAGGTGCTTCCTCTCTGGTTTGGACTTTTCATTCTACTCACTGTGGTTGTACATGCGTCACATCCGCTTTTGAAGCGCTCATGCGTCAGTGAATGCGGCGCTAAAGAAAAGGAGGCGAGTAGCAGTGTTTCGCTTCGCTTGAGAACATATTATTAGCTAGCTAACTAAATACATTTGTTAATTATCTATCCTTTAAGTTTCTATCGACAAGATATGAGCGACAACGGGAAGGATTTTGGCGAGCGGGTGCGTATAATCAACTACGAACTACCGAAGATCTATTCTTGCTCTAAAATGAGCAGACTCAACGACGCCATTTTCCCTAGACTAGGCGGCTAACGTTAGTTAGCACAACCATGCTGTAGCTAAGAACATTGATTTGCATCGACTGTATGGATTTATTCAGGCAGCCAGTATTAATTTGTACCGTTTATATTTTCAAATGTAATGTCCATTTACCCATTTATGTTAACATTGGCGTCTTTTTATTCAGTATATTTTGCAACTTAAAGCTAGCATATTTGTTAGCCCAATCAGGCCAAGTGGTTTGCAGCTGTTGTAGCTAGTAGTTCACGTTAAGTACATTTAGATTTTACGAGTCTACTGAGACTGCTGGCGAGAAACCTATGCCAATGTACATTTACTAACAATGTAATGATTTCATCATTGCAGGTGAATGTAATCTATAAATAACTAGAACGTTTAACTTCGTCCTCACTTACTGCCGCAGTCTCACTTAGTTAACTACAGATTGTACGCCAGATAATGTGATATAACAAAAAGTGGTGGATAAATGATGGTTCTCCCATAGACACCAATAGACGGGTTGGTTGTTTAGCGACAAAACTGACGCGTGCGCAACTATGGTGTAAAATGTGTCTATCGACATATCTGTAGACAGTTGTTGTAGTGACATCATGAACATCCTATTGTAGTCTGACATCAAACTTGTTGTCATTATGAAAAAGTATAAACACAAAAATGACAGGCTGCATGACATCAGCTGCCTGGTGGTCCAAAAAATCATAACTGCTGTATTTCAACACCAGTAAACCCATCTGTATAAAAATGTATACATTATATTTCAATCTAGCAAACCAGGCAACTATAAGCAACTGTCTAAACAAGGTTTTTGTTAGTTTCTAGCATGTTAGCTAGCTGGCTAGCCAGTTCAAATAATGACCATATCATAGCTGACAATGTCTTTAAATAAAGCACATTTTTATTCATTATTTAGGGTGTACACACATACAATTATTTCATTCAATGTTTATAAAAAATATATTAATTCAATAGAGAATTGCATCAATAGTCCAAACCCTATGTTTCTACTATATATCGTTCACAACTTAGACTATTTACTCAGAGAATTTAGCATGATTAGAGTGAATAGAATGCCATTATGGCCATGGTCAATTAACCTGTTCTTGGCGATACTTTTTCCACTGACTCGAGAACGAAGAAAGTATCACAAGAACTGGTTAGTTGAAAAATCTATGGTGGTGGTTTGTATGGGGCTTTTCTCTCATGACCAGTAATGGACACCAATAATCTTGGGTTATATCACATTATCTGGCGTACAGTCTGTAGCTATTCATTAGCCAGTTAGAATGTATCAAGCTCTTCAACATGGCACAACCCATGTAAGAGTACTGTGTCTTTTCTAAAGTTGTTAGTCCTATATGTAGTTGCACTGAAATGATCCTTCTGCAAAAGCATTTTTTTTATATATCACACATTAACAAATGTTATACTGAGTGGGGCATTGAAAGAAGTAACTAACTTACTTTAAACCCTTACTCTTATTTACTATAGCAGTTCTTCAATCTTGGTCCAAGGGCTTGATGAACCAGGTGTGCTAGTACTGGGCTGGAACAAAAGCCTGCACTCCTTGTGTGACCCTCGGGCTAGGATTAAAGAACACCATGATTTTATAACTTTTCTAGTCTTCATTCATCATATTCTGATGTTGTGCATTTCAGAGAAATCAATATATATATATATTTCCTTAACCTTGCTTTGATTTAATGCTTTTCAGGTGAGACAACTTATTTAGTCTGATTTGAGTGTTACGAGCCTGGTTTTTGCACATTTTGACCTCTGTAGCTCTTATAAAAAACCAACACTTTTTATCATCCTTGTCTGTTTTTCGTTAAGGTTGAGTTGGGAAGAAGCAAAAAGGCGGAAGAAGTTTCAGATATGAAGTTTGAAGTTGTTAAAGGGCATATTTGATGAAGCTGATGGTGTTGATGCATGCTAATGTAAAATGAAGCTGGCAGAAGCGAGCGGCCGCGCTGTCCACTGGTAGTGATGTAATGGGAGGAAGGAAGTGGGGGAAGAGGAGAGAAAAATGAAGTCAGAAATGGTGTGAAACGGAAGAAAGAAGAAAAGAAATGGTTGTTTTGAAGTTATGAAGTTAAAGAAGTGATGAAGTTATGAGAAGTGTTCGGGGGTATGGTTAATTCCCTATAGCCTGCTATGTTATTATTACTACAATCCTATTTCTCTCTCCTTCTGTTTTCTAAAGCAGTGTTTCCCAAGCCATCCCTCAAGGACCCCCAGTCATTACACCGGGTTGTTCTATTCCACCACTAGTACACCTGATTCAACAAATTCTCAAGCTCTTTCTCAAATTGAATCAGGTGTACTAAAACGGAAATGTGCAACAGTTGGGGTCCCCCTGAGGGATGGAGTGAGAAACACTTCTTAAGCATGCATGCCAACTGTTCCTCCATCTCAGACACATTACCTAGTCCTCAACACGCAAGGTTAAACTCTGCTACGCTGCCTAGAGTGTAAGAGAACAATCCGCTCATCATAGAACTGTGTTATGATTAAACTAGATTAACACCTCTACTTTAAGCCTATATGATTTCCTCTGGTCGCCTGTAACAGGCAGATCTAGTTACCACAAATACCTGTCTTTAATGAAATGTTATTTTTTTCTTAAACTACTGGGGCTCAAATATGAGGGGCCTGTAGCAGGTTTGAGCGAGGTTCCTTCTGTACCTCCTCTCTCTCTATCCTGACCGTTTGTGTTTTGATTCTGACCTGTGTTTATGTGTATCTGGCCCGTTCAGGACTCGCGGTCCGCTTCCAGGAGTGTGAGCCCAAGGGGTTCTGGGAAGTCTGCCAGCCGCTCTCCGGCCCATTCCCCAGCCCGCTCCAAAGATGGCTCCAGACACTCCCGGTCTAAGTCCCACTCCCGATCCCGCTCCAAGTCCAGGTAAGAACCCCTACTCCAAGGAGGCTTTGAGTTTTGTGGTGACTCCTTTAGGAGCTGCTGGGTAGTGTAGTGTAGTGTGTATTTTTGTTCAGGTCCACATAAAGAGCTCGTATTTTTTGTGTGTAATGGGTTTATTCATGTTATTTTTGTTTCTAAACTCTTTAAATCAGGGATCATCCGCTAGATTCTGCCGTGGGCTGATTTTTCTTTCTTGAGCGGATGGTCTGGGGGCCGGAACAATAATTACAAATAATTTGTATACATTTCTATACGATCACATATACCTCTATTATGTGTGGGAATACTTTGGAACAGATTTCCAAAATAAAAATCACTTGGAGCTGATGTGCTGGTGTTTTTACAGTCTTATGTTCAACAATAAAACATTACAATAATAAAAACACTTTATTTTTACTTGGGGGGGGCAAATAAATTCAGCCACCAGTTGGTAACCCTGCTTTAAATGTTTTTAACATGTCTTTTATTTTATTTTCCCCAGGTCTCGTTCCCACAGAAGCTCCCGCAGGCATTATTCCCGCTCTCGCTCCCGTTCCCACCGCCGTCGTTCCCGTAGCCGTTCCCGAAGCGGGGAATACCGCCGCCGTCGGAGCCACAGCCACTCCCCCATGTCCAACCGCCGCAGGCACATTGGCAACCGGGTACGTACACACACACCTCTGGAGACGAGACTCTCTTCGGCAAACCCCACACATAACTTCTATCCTTCTCACAATCCTCCTCTATAGGCCAACCCGGACCCTAACTGCTGCCTGGGCGTGTTTGGTCTGAGCCTGTACACCACAGAGAGAGACCTGAGAGATGTGTTCTCCAAGTACGGCCCCCTGGCTGATGTCAGCATCGTCTACGACCAGCAGTCACGACGCTCCCGCGGCTTCGCCTTCGTCTACTTCGAAGTCCGAGAGGACGCCAATGAGGTAGGAATACAGGGAAGGAGGATGGTTATATTGCAGGGGAAGAACAGAGAATAATCAGAACTTTTGAGTGAGTATGGTGTTGAAGGGGAAATACTATTCTCTAAACGTCTTTATTTCCCTCTCCTCCACCCTCCCTTTCTTGGTTTCAGGCTAAGGAGAGAGCTAATGGAATGGAGTTGGATGGACGGAGGATCAGGGTGGATTTCTCCATCACCAAACGACCACACACTCCTACCCCTGGGATATACATGGGACGGCCCACATAGTGAGTGACACTCTCTTAGACTCACAGATCTGGGATGGCCCATGTGATGCACACACGTTCTACATTCAGTGAATCCTCTAACCTCTGACCGTGTGTGTTTTCAAGTGGCGGTGGTGGCGGCAGCAGCAGCGGAGGCGGTGGTGGTGGTGGAGGAGGAAGTGGCGGCCCCAGCTCAAGCTCATCTCGCCGTAGCTCGAGGGATTGCGACCGCGGCGGTGACCGTGGTTACGACAGAGGCTACGACCGCGGCTACGATCGCTATGAAGACCGAGAGTGCTACAGGTCCTACAGGTGAGACACCTGGCCTGGATCTTATAGTTAGTGGTTGCTAAGCAGAACCGTGGCGGTTGGTTGGTGGAGGCTTATTGTGTGTTGTCTCTCCAGACGCAGGTCTCCGTCCCCGTACTACAGCCGAGGGGCCTACCGGTCTCGCTCACGGTCGCGATCTTACTCCCCACGTAAGTCAACCAGACTTAGCACCGCTTAACATGGTTCACTTCACGGCTAATCTACTAGTGACGCAGCGGTTGGGCCTGAATGTCTAAATGTCTCCCTCCTGTCTCCACAGGCCACTACTGAGCAGAGGGAGAAGAGGAACAATATGATACTTTTTGTGGGGTGAATGTAGGACAGGGTTAGGGCCAGGGGGGGTGGATGTGGGGTTAGGGCCAGGGGTGGGGTGGATGGAGGGTGGGGTTAGGGCCAGGGGTGGGGTGGGTGTTGGGTTAGGGCCAGGGGTGGGGTGCATATCTGGGGTAGGGGGAAGTTAGGGAAATGGTAAAGGATGTAATTGTGAACTTGATAAAGTCATATTTTTTGTTTCTTTTAGTAACATTTGTTCAGTGGGTGGATTTCTGTACATGAGCTTCTTTCTGTCAACCTTGCCCGTTGTGTTTAGAGAAGCTGTCGATTTGTTAATCCAGGGTTCTCCCCGGGATTTTTCAAGGTGGTGCTGCTGAGTACAGCGAACACCTGTAACTGCCATTTCCTGCAATCTACAGCAAAATGGCCTTAAATTATAACATAAAGTAACAACATATGTCTTTTTTTTACATAGTGGGCAGCCAGTCCACAAGCTGGCGCAGCACTCCTCTTACATTCTTTGGGGAGAACCCTGTTTAATCCATCTGATCTCTATTTTGTATCACCAGGCTCCTTTTTAATGGGTAGATGTGTTGAAGTACAGTGATATTTAGTGCATGATAGGCTCTAGGGGAGAGGGATCTAGGTAAATCCAGATCTAGGATCTGATTACCTTACCCCCAAACCTAACCTTAACCATTAGGTTGATGAAAAAAATAACTCACCCTTTATCAGTGGTTAGGGGTAACTTCTTCCTGCTGTATGTTGGGAAGAAGAGCCAAGAGCTAGAAGCTCTACCCTAGTTCAGTGCTCTGTGTATGGGTGTACCTTGATTTTAAGTCTGCAGTATTCCAAGCAATAATAAAACTGCATATTTTCAAGTTTTTTGTCCGTCAATACTTTTCATGTCTCCTGTACTTTGTGTGTGGCAAACTGGTGCACATTCAGTGAAAAATATGTAAGGCTATAGGAATTAGTAAACCTCTTACTACAGAGAAAGGTCTTGTTACAAACATAAACAAAAGGCTAAGATAAATGTTTAGAATGATGGCACTATATTTATGGCCCACACATCCACAGGACCCCAGCAAAGGAAAAAGGGAGTTATTGAGATCATATATATTATTATTTTTATTCAAGAATGACCATGTTTGCATTGCATCCTAATATTATAAAAAGTGGTTTGACAGGCAGTTAACCCGCAACAACAACTGCTCCCCGGACGTCGATTTAAGGCAGAGGGGTTGGGTTAAATGCTGAAGACACATTTCGGGTGAATGCATTCAGATGTGCAACTGACTAGATATCACCTTCCTCGAGGAAGAGCTGCCGTTGTTCCAATGTAATTGGTTGGATGAAAGTTTTCTCAATGGGTGCTTACAGTGACTGGGTCCAAGATGTCTAAACTACTTAAACAGCAATGGTGGAGTTTTAAGATCTAATCGCTGTACAGATGTGGGTTCTTAATTTGATCACCCTGTTGCAGGAAATTTAAAACTTGGTGTATTTGAGGTTTAAAAAGGCTTCTGAAGTTTGTAATTTACACTTTGAAATTTCAGACTTGATTTTCCCTTATGAAAAATCTATCAACCCCTACCAAAATGTCCATTAATTATAATCCATATAATTCACATTTCCTGTTGCTGCTGGATTATTTTCCTGCTGTAGCAAACTGGCTAACATTTAAATCCTACATCTGTACTGACAGGGCCATTTAGGGTATGCCACTTGAGTGCAAAATCAGGCAAGAACCGAGCTGCCCCCAGATGCAAAATGTGTACACCCAGAATCAGGTTGCCATGCAGCAGGTTACTGGTTCAAATCACGTTGGCGATTTCTTCCTAACAATCAGTGGGCAAAGCTTAGTGACTGGTGTACAGATGAGTGAAATCAAGAAACGCCTTAGTGGAAGTAGGTTGAAGGTGGATGGAGGACATACGCCTTTCCATGTGGTAGGTCCCTGGTTCAAATCCTGGTGGGGAGGGTGTTCTAAGGCCTGGATTCAATTCATAGTGCAGCACACTGGACAGCCAACAATGCAGCTTTTACAGGCATTTCCCCCAATATTTGCATATATTGCATTCAGTGTAAACACAGCACACGTCTAATCAATCATAAAATACCTTAAAGTCAACTTCGACTAGTTGCTCTATAGCACTCATTTGGATTGAACCCCTGCCATTATAGAGCAGCACATTAGAACAGACTTTTAGGTAATTTACGCTTGACCCAACATGGGCAGTGTTTACCCTGAATGCAATCTCCGCAAACAGCAGGAAAAATGCCTGTAAAAGGTGCATTGTTGGCTGTCCTGTGTGCTGCTCTTCTGTGTAACACGCCTTGGATTGAATCCCGGCCGATCTGTTTTCTAGCACAACTATCAGTGGGATGGAGCTCAGCCTCATTGCATTTTGGTGCACCAGTGCATTCTGTGTGGGACGACATACGTTGGATTTATCGAACGTATGCTGTATGCGTAGACTGGTTTGACAGAAATAGTATCAGAAGGTGAATTTGCGTAAAAACACAGTTGGTGTGATCGAGGTGTTAGAGCAACAGGGGACGCCTCGATCAGACCGACAGCATCATTGCATTAATGCTGCTTAATAAAATCTGCAGTCAAACATTTTTACTGAATGTGTGCAACATAAATTCACAATTCACCTTTTGCTACTATTTCTGTCAAGTCTATGCATACAATTTGATGCTTACGTTGGATATACACCACACAGAACGCACTGCTGAAAACACAGCATTCCATTTGAAATGAATGTACTTCTGCTGTACCAAAACCCAATGAAGCTGTTGGACTGATCGAGGCGATCACACCGACATCGTCTTGTGCAAAATGGTGTGCAGCGTCATCTGGATGTGTGCAACAAAAGTTCAACATTCAGCTTCTGCTACCATTTCTGTCAAGCTTCCACGCATACAATTTTTATTTAACCAGGTAAACCAGTTGAGAACAAGTTCTCATTTACAACTGCGACCTGGCCAAGATAAAGCAAAGCAGTGCGATAAAAAAACAACAACACAGAGTTACATATGGGGTAAACAAAACAAAGTCAAAAATACAACAGAAAATATATATACAGTGTGTGCAAATGTAGCAAGTTATGGAGGTAAGGCAATAAATAGGCCATAGTGCAAAATAATTAAAATTTAGTATTAACACTGGAATGATAGATGTGCAAGAGATTATGTGCAAATAGAGATACTGGGGTGCAAATGAGCAAAATAAATAACAATATGGGGATGAGGTAGTTGGGTGGGCTAATTTCAGATGGGCTGTGTACAGGTGCAGTGATAGGTAAGGTGCTCTGACAACTGATGCTTAAAGTTAGTGAGGGAGATAAGAGTCTCCAGCTTCAGAGATTGGCTGAGGTGCCACTACTAGTGGTAGTAGCAAAATGCTTGTTGAAATTCTCGATTATTGTAGATTTATCGGTGGTGATAGTGTTTCCTAGCCTCAGTGCAGTGGGCAGCTGGGAGGAGGTGCTCTTATTCTCCATCGACTTTACAGTGTCCCAAAACGTTTTGGTGTTAGTGCTACAGGATGCACATTTCTGTTTGAAAAAGCTAGCCTTTGCTTTCCTAACTGCTTGTGTATATTGGTTCCTAACTTCCCTGAAAAGTTGCATATCGCGGGGGCTGTTCGATGCTAATGCAGTACGCCACAGGATGTTTTTGTGCTGGTCAAGAGCAGTCAAGTCTGAGGAGAACCAGGGGCTATATCTGTTCTTAGTTCTTAATTTATTGAATGGGGCATGCTTATTTAAGATTGAGAGGAAAGCACTTTTAAAGAACAACCAGGCATCCTCTACTGGAGATCAATATCCATCCAGGATACCTGGGCCAGGTCAATTAGGAAGGCCTGCTCGCTAAAGTGTTTTAGGGAGCGTTTGACAGTGATGAGGGGTGGTCGTTTGACCGCGGACCCGTTACGGACGCAGGCAATAAGGCAGTGATCGCTGAGATCCTGGTTGAAGACAGCGGAGGTGTATTTAGAGGGTAAGTTAGTCAGGATGATATCTATGAGGGTGCCCATGTTTACGGATTTAGGGTTGTACCTGGTAGGTTCCTTGATAATTTGTGTGAGATTGAGGGCATCTAGTTTGGATTGTAGGATGACCGGGGTGTTAAGCATATCCCAGTTTAGGTCACCAAGCAGTATGAACTCTGAAGATAGATGGGGGGCAATCAATTCACATATGGTGTCCAGGGCACAGCTGGGGGCTGAGGGGGGTCTGTAGCAAGCAGCAACAGTGAGAGACTTATTTTTAGAAGTAGGAGCTCAAACTGTTTGGCACAGACCTGGATAGTATGATAGAGCTCTGCAGGCTATCTCTACAGTAGATTGCAACTTCACCCCCTTTGGCAGTTCTATCTAGATGGAAAATGTTGTAGTTGGGAATGGAAATCTCTGAATTTTTGGTGGCCTTCCTAAGCCAGGATTCAGACACTGCTAGAACATCAGGGTTGGCGGAGTGTGCTAACGCAGTGAATAACTCAAATTTAGGAAGGAGTACAATGATGCATACGTTCGATAAATCCAACATATGCACCACACAGAATGCTGAAAGGCAAACGCCACGTTCCATTGGAAATGAATGCACTTCTGGTGTAACGAAACGCATGATGCTGTAGGTGTGATCGAGGCCGAGAGTCAAATATTAGAAAAGCCTTTTACACTTAGATCACACCGACAGCGTTTTTGCGCAAAATGGTACACAGCATCATCTGGATATGTGTGCAAGAAAAGTTCAACATTCACCTTCTGGATTTCAACTTTTGTTTCCCAACCTTACCCAATCTACTAACATTCTAAATGAGTAACCGACTGAACAGCTTTAAATATGTGAAAAAACTAAGGTTGTCCCTACCCCTGATGGCGCAGTGGACTAGCTACTGGGATATGGACCAGGTCACTGGTTCATGTTTTTCTAGTTTCAAATATGTTTTATGAAGCACTGTTATCCATGTATACAATTAAACTTTATTCTGTGAGCTACGTTTTTACATAAGACAACAGTAATATACACAAAATTATCACAAGTATTACCACAGGATATTATTGCAAGAGTTGAAATGTTTAAACAAAATGTATACAGCAAAACGGTATGAAAGGAAAAACCCTGAGTCAATAAAAACGCCGTAGTTGTTTTCTAACTATTTATTTTCTAGTTGAAAGATTAGTGGGCAAATCTGTTTTGCTTTACACTCTTTGTTTTTAGTCAAATGACATTCGTAAGTGTAATGAAAACAAATACCCTGAAATTAGCATGGATACTAAGACATTTACATCATTTAGCAGACGCTCTTATCCAGAGCGACTTACAAAGAGTGCAGGAATTCCCTTTGTACAAAACATACATTTTTAATACATTGTCAACAACCACAAAAGTACAGTCAAAACAACTAAATACAAAATGGGATAAGATTAACAAATCCACTAAATCCACAGTGGACACAATGACAAAAACACAAAAGAAGGTTGCTGGGATTATGTACATATCAAATGAACAAGGTGGAGAAGACAATTGTCAGCGTTTTTCAGTAAGATCTTTGAGAAACACAATGGAGAAGAAAGTGGCGTTCTAACACATTCTCAAGTTAAAATTCATTTCATTCACATACGTGAGGAATTCATTTATATAAAGAGCATTTATATAAACCATTTTCTTTATTTACTAAATAAAAAAAGCAACATATGGATGACCATCTCTACCTCATACAAATGCAAAGACAAAGGCCTGGTACATACAACTACATTAAAACGGTAATCCAGAAGAAGACAGGGGCAGACTATTCCCCACCCCTCCATTCCCCTCTGGTTAGGGTTATACCCTTTGACTAAATTTTTTTTCCTTCTGAGACGTCATGTTGTGAAGTTTGTTATATTGAGAAGTAACACGCATCTACCTATCTAGCCATTCTCTTCAGCAGATTTAATATCTAATGGAGTACATTTAGCAGCTACTTCAGCCAGACACTCCAGGCCTTTCCGGGTTGGACTACAGATGTCTGCTGCTATCCTCCTGTTAACAACTATTCTCACTCGCTTGGGTTGTTTGTTTGTGTAGCTTATTTCAGGTGTTGCAGAAGGTTCAGGGTCCTGGTTTGTCTGGTGTACTTGAGGCACTGAAACAGAATCTTTGTTTGCCCTCATCCTAGTGTCAACTATTCTTATTACCCGGGTCTGAAAGTCACTCATTTTGTACATTTTAGCAAGTTCCATGTCTGTGCAGCTTATTTTGGGCACGGAAGCGGTTTCCTTATGTGTGTTGGTTACTTGAATGTGTTCCTTTATCTTTTCCATTATCTGAGACGTTTGAGCAAGTTCTGCATTTGTTTCTTTTCCTTTAGGCCTTTGAACGGGTTCTTTGTCAGTCGTTTTTGGCGTTGAAGTGATGTTCCTGCCTAACTTACCAGGTTCCATGTCCGTGCAGCTTACTTGGGGCATTTGAACGAGTCCCTCCATTGACCTCCCTCTCGGTCTTTGAACAGGTTCAAAGTTTTCCTCACTAACTTGAACAGGTTGATTGTTCATCTCATGTATTTGGGGCATTTCAGCAGCACTACAGCTTTCCATTCTATTGACAATAATTTTTATTTCCCGGGTAAGAGCAGGTTCTTTGCCGGTGTTGTTTATTTTGGGCATTGAAGGGGTTTCCTTGCTTGTGTTGCTTACTTGAGCAAGTTCTTTCCTTGGCCTGCCTCTTTTGCGCTTTGGAATTAATTCCATTTGAGCTAGTTCTTCAGGTGTCTTTGCAGGTTCTTTCTTTGTCCGATTTACTTTACGCTTTCCAGTGAGTCTTTTTGGCTCAGCAGGTTCCTTATTTATTTCACGTCCTTCGACACGTTGCTGATTTGGTTTACTAACTTGAGGCATTGAACCGGTGTGTAAGTCGGTTTCTTGGGACTTTTCAATTGGTCCCTTCCTTGTCCTCCCTCTTTTAGATGTTACAGCAAGTTTCATGTGTGTGTCCATTTTTTGAAGCGTTTCGGAGGGTTCCTTGTTCGTTTTGGTTATTTTGGCCATTTTAGTTTGTTCTTGGTCTGTGCCGGATACTTGGGTAACTCGTCTGGGTCTCTTCCTTGATCTCATACTTCCGAGCATTAAAGTGGTGTCCACGTTTACCTCACTTAGCGGAATTGGTTCCATGCAAGTGTCGGTTAATTGTGGAATTTGAACGAATCCCTTCTTTGGCCTCCCATTCTTGGCCTGTACAACATACTCTTTGTTTGTCTCAGCAAGTTTCATGTCTGTATTGCTTACTTGAATGGGTTTGTTTTGTGTGTCAGTTACTTGGAGCGTTTGGACAGGTTTCTTCCTTGGACTTCTGAGCTTGTGAGCAGGTTCCAAGTGTGTGTCGGTTATTTGGGGAGTTTGAGTGTGTTCTATGTTTGTTTTGCTTACTTGAGCAAGTTCCTTCCTTGGCCTGCCTCTTTTGGGCATTTTCATTAGTTCCATGTTTGTCTCGCTCATTACGGACATTTGAGCAAGTTCTACATTTGTCTCATTGATATGAGCACGGTACTTGTTTGAATCGCTGAGTTGAACGGGTTCCATGTGTGTGTTGTCTACTTGAGACATTTGAATGACTTCTATGTTTGCCTCACTTACTTGAGAAGTCTCCATGTCTGAATGGTGAGCGCCTGTTGCGTTTATTACTTGAGGCGATTGAGCAGGTATCTTTTTCGTCATAGTCCTTCTCTTGGGGTTTTGAGCAGGTTTTTCCTTTGCCTCCCTTTTGTCCTCACTGTTCTTCGTCCATCGACTCAATGTAGGTCTGTGAAGGCATGAGAGGGACAGGAAGACATTAGTAGGTTATAGCCTTGAGATAAGAGCAAATGGTTGAAGTGAAAACCTGTATACACAGGTCCTCAACCCAAATTTCAGATTGATTACTAAAGGTCCATAGAGGATCACATCTCTATAACTTACTTTTGGACTTTGTGGTAGCCATGTTCTTTGATCAGATTCTGGTACTCCCGGGAGATAAGCCTCTGAGTCGGGCCTTGGAAGTCGTCTTTCCTGCATTGGACACAAGAGGGCAAAGGTCAGGGGGCACAAGGAGAGAGGGATCATCATCAAACACAAACGCACACACATCAAAAACACAGACTCTCACTCACCTGGAGCGAGATCGGGAGTCAGGTCTGGAACTCAGATCGGACCAGGACCTGAGTGCACATAGATGGAGGAGATAAATAGATGAGAATCTCAAAATTAGCTCCAGTTAATCCCACCTTTCTGTGCGAGGTAGTTTTATGGATAGACTTTGTGGTAACCAAAATAGTAGCTACGGACTGCTAATTTTGAGCAACTACACTACTAGAAACCCCTCCCTCCAGGAAATGGTTCTTACCTGTCTATGGAGTGTGATGGGGAGTGGGATTGGTCCGAGAACCAGTTCAGAGAGCGGGTTGGGGTGGAACTGGAATACTCTTCAGAACAACTCAGAGTCTGATTCTCATCCTCAGATCGACAAAAGGAGTCCTGCAGGGACCACAAATGAATTAGAACCACACCAGAACAAACCAAGGGGTAATTCTTTTCAAAGCTCATTTAATACACAGACACCAAGAGACATACAAAAGTAAACAAACAGAATACTTTTTCTCCTGAGGGAGTAGAACTTACCTCAGGCTCCTCCACCCCCACCACCCCCTCTGTGCGGTCCTCCTGAGGTGGATCAAAGCCGGTTGTCAGGCTCTCTGCGTGTCTCCTGGTGGAGGCCGCACTGGGACACAGCCCCAGGGCATTGAGGGCTTTTAACACGCTGAGAGGACAGCCCTGTTTCCAGAACTCGACCCCCAGTGAGGCCTGGATGAAGTTACACTTCTGCATGGAGGTGTAGAGGACGATGGCCAGGATAAGCCCTGCCCTCTGGCTGACCACATCCCCTGCCTCCTCTTCTGTCCTCGGGCTTCAGAAGATATCAACGGAGAACATGTTATAACCAATTTATGCTTTCATGAACACAGAGGGCAAGTCATTAATAATGAACAGCAGTCACATAATTCAGCCCTGTGGAACACAGGTACAAAACAGAACTTAAAATGGAAAAAAAATAAAAGTTGGGTAACTTATGACCCCCACACAATATAAATGTTTTGATCATCTGGAAAAGTGCCTACAATCAATGACTTTTAATTGATCATCTCTTGTTCTCTCACCGTTTCGTTTTCCTCGCTCCCATCATAACCTGTGTCCTGATGGTGTTGGGTTTGGGGAACATGGCCCTAAGACAGGCCAGGGTCATAGGGGCCTTTTCATCCCCCCACGCTAGAACCGCGTCCCAGGAAAACCCACTCACACTCGCCTCAGTCAGCGGCTGACGCAATGGCCCACGTTGGTCCTTCATCAATACCTTACTCTGGTAAATCAGACAGACGGACACATACATTTCCTTGTCAAACACATCTATCTTCAACAACGATACACTCACACCTGATTAGCCATAAACTGCCGGTAGCCTATAAACAAATACATTCTTCAAATGAATTATGTTAAAAGAACAATTACCTCCTGGGCGATGACCTCGGCGAGGAAAAGGGTCATGGCTTCTCTAGCTTTGGTCTTCATCAGGGACCTGAAGGCCTTCAGGTGCTGGTGGCTGTGCATGTAATACAGGGCCTTGGCATGGGGGCCGAATCCATAGCTCTGCTTAGTCTTGGAGACAGGGAGCTTCTTCTTCTTGGGCCTTATACCTTCTTCAATGGGGAACGGAGACAGGAGTGTGGAGTGTGTTGTAGATCGAGGCGCCTTCGGACAGCTTTTTGTTTTCCGCTCTCCAGTGGAGAACAGAGAACTGATCTGATTTGAAGTATGACTTGATAACGTTGAGGAATTTACTTGATTTGATGGTGTTGAAGAGGAGTGTGTGGTTGGGGCTATAGGCGTTTGAGGTCGTGTGATGGTCGTTGAATGGGATTCTGGGGAACGAGAAGTCATGGTGGTCCATTTCTCCCCGTCCCACTGACGAACTGGCCTCCGTTTTTTTTTTTTTGAAGCAATGCACTCTTCTTTGGATAATGAGGATGGGTTGGTTATAATTGGAGTTTGATTGGATAATGTTGTGGAATCAATCTGATTTGGAGTTTGGTTTGATAATGGTGTAGATGAGCTTGGTATTTCGGCCCTAGTCTTTCGTGGTCTTCCAACTTTTGGTTGGTGTTCGGTTGTCCAAAGCTTCCCATTCTGCATGGTTTTCCTTCTGAGCACGCCAAGACAGATCAAGCAGAGGAAGGAAGAGTCATCAGGAGTGATGTCAAAGACTAGCCGGAAGGTTTTGGGGCTGGTCAGCGTTGTGACCTTCCTCCTGTTGTACCCCTTGGGCCCCCTCACAAACCTCACCCCACAAATGCAACACCTATCTGACTGAGACATTGTGGGGATACACAAAAGCAGGTTAAAAAAATGTATTTTTTAAAGAGCTGATGGTTGTTAATCGAAGACTGTTACCCTATTAATAAAACGCACATTGCAATTGTTAAACATACAATTCTCCTGTGGGGAGCAGATCAAATGAATGTAGCTATGGTTTGAGAAACAAAAGCAACATACCAGACTCACAGCAGAACCTTCCAGTGGGACTACTACCAGAAAAAGCCCCGGTGCAAGTACATTTCTCACATTAATCGACCGTGATTTTCAAAAACATTAAACGGGGAACGCAGTGGTTAAAAATACATATTTCTTTGGCTAATTGATGAAAATATCGTAAAGGGAGAAATATTATAACATTTTCACTTCCCGTCAGCTACATGCGAAATATTGCAAACAAACTACCACAGAAGAACAACGAATTTGCACTAGAGATCACACAAATACTGTAATGTAAAATGACCGCCTTTTGTAAGGTATATCAAAGATAAAGGCAAATACATTACATTTCAAACTACTTTAGGTAGGATAACTTGAAAGTAATATACTGTAGATGTCGGTCAGGTTTGGATGGTCCTTTTTTGTGCAGTCACGCATGCGCGGGGCTTCTCCTTCCTGCCAAAGAAATGGTTGACTAGACGCCAAAATTCACAATACTGCCACCTGCAGGTTTGGAGTATAATGGAACATAGCTCTGGTTTACATATTCCATAAACAAAATACATTTGACAGTGACTAGTCAATAACAGGAGCGGGTCCATTTCTTTCCTTCTGACCTTTATTACGTACAAAAATATGACCGAGGTTGTCAGCACGGCTCTATGCACACATGAATAATAGCTGCAGAAATACACGCAACGTAATAAGCAGTGTAATGACCAGGGCATAAGCGGTACTAGCCTGGTCCCAGATCTGTACGCGCTTTAGCCAACTCAGCTTCCTTTGCCATCCCATACATGTTAGCTACAGGCTTACCGTCACACTGAACACTACAGGGGTGTGAGCTAAAGCACATACAGCTTTATGGCCAAGGGCCTATTGGAACTGGAACCCTATTCCCTATATAGTGCACCACTTTGAGTCATAGGGAGCAATTTCAGAGGCAGACCCAAGCTAAAGCAGTACAGACTCATTGGCAATTCTTCTCTACATGCCTTTAACGAAAACACTCATACAATCCAATAGAACTGTTATAAAGTTTATGGCAAAAACATCTACATTGATGCCTTTAATGCTGGATTAAATAAAAATACATCCCATAAAGAAAAGCCTTCCGCATCAAATAAATAAACTATTGTTACACATTTAGGATTTAAATTATTTGTCCATATCTGTTGGTGGTGGTGGTGAGGGATTAAGATGGGGCCCTGCTCTGCTTGAGATGGCGCACCTCACACACCGGTCTCTCTTCCAGTCCAGCCAAAATGAAAGCAGCTAAACTCACCTTCGCACCCCAAGACGTTTCAGTCAAAAAATAACTATTTACATAAATATAGTACACACACACATGCAGCCTTCTTATGTCTGCCTTCTCCTCAACGATGAGTCAACCATCAATTAAGACATTCAATAACATTCATAACATATGCCTCAGTTCTCACTCAACTTTCTACTAATCATAAAAATAAAGTACCTAATATAGACATCATATATACACAACAAACATTAACAAAACACTCTGGTTTCACACAGAAAGCTTGTTTTAAGTTTAAGTTAGCATCAACGACAGCAGGGATTTTCAAGTGTGTACCTGATTCCCCATCTAGTGTTATCTAGAAGTATGAAAGACAGACTCCCTCTGTAGTCCAAGGCACTTCAATTCAAAACCATCCCTTTGTAACGTCTATGCTTCGGAGAGCACCCACCCTGTCTTCACTATAAGGACTGCACTTCTACCCACTGCCAGAGGGTAAGAGGTCATTCTGTGGTCCATAGCATTGGTCCTTTAAGTCATCTTTTTTATTGCTTTTGTGCTTCTAGCTGTTCGCTGTAGTTGTCCTTCATGTTGTAGTTTGGAGGCTGTGTAGTAGTCGTGACTGTTGTAGTTGCTTGTTATCACTTCTGTTGTAATGGTTGTTTTGCAGTTGCGTAGCTGTCATTTATTTTTGTGTAGTCCTACAGAAGCCTCTGGTTGAGAATCTCCCAGATCATCAGCTTCCTGAACAGGGACATGTGACACTGAGGAGAGATAGTGAGTGAGAGACATCAGTGTTTGAGTGAAAAAGCGAGATTGTAAGAGTTTACCCCGAGTGAGTATGATAGCCTGCGAAGGCCTATGTACCTGTCGGAAGTTGAGAGGCCGCCCCTGGGCGATGTAGTCGGCATATTTACAGGCAAACACTCCACAGTCGCTGCCATTCTTCTGCTGAGGGATCTCCTACACACACACACACACACACACACACACACACACACACACACACACACACACACACACACACACACACACACACACACACAAAGCAAGAAGACACCATGAGGGATCCTGGTCAAAATCATTTCACTAGAGAACGGATGCTATTTCTGACAGCCATAAGCGCACTCTGTATGAGTTCAAGATAAAATAACAACAAAGATGATTCATCTGTATTTCTGTCTGGGTAATTTACGCTGGCCCTCAAGCTGCCCACTGTCCACTTGCACACGTCCAGATCTTGGTCCTTCCTGGCCTTGTGCTCCTCACTCAGGTACAGCCTGGACAGGGTTGGACCAACCAAATACATGTAACAGGATTACAGAACGAAATGACAAAAAAATATGGTCATCAGATTACAGGTACTTTTGTCAAACCAAATGATTACTGGGAGGGGACTGAGGACTCACAGTAAGAGGCTGCAGATGTCATCATGTCTCTGTCCCATAGAGTCATAGGACCTCACGGTCCTGGAGTTAAAGTTTATCACCTAGAGAGGGAGTGGCAGAGAGAAATAAACTAAGTCCACAGGTATCTACAAATGACCACAGAGAAGTACCAGTAGACTTTCTAAAACAGTGGTCACCAACCTTTGAGTCAAGATCACTTTGAGTCAAAATGCAAGCCGAGATCTACCGCTCAGATTCTTTTAAAAACATAACTTAAAAAACATAAGCCTATGCAACACGAACCACTTAAAAACAGTTCTGTAGCAATGAGGGTTGTGCAGTAGGCTATAGGCCCAATATATTATCACTGCATATTGGCTATGCTTGAATTGCCCTGCCAATGTCCTTCTCAGAAGACTTTTCAATTGTATTTAAACATGTTTTTATTTAATTTTACTATTTTGTTCTTCCCAATTTCATGATATCCAATTGGTAGTTACAGTCTTGTCTCATCGCTGCAACTCCCCCACGGACACGGGAGAGGCGGAGGTCGAGAACCACGCGTCCTCCGAAATACGACCCTGCCAAGCCATATTTAAACATGTCAGGTATATGATCACACTGGTAATAGATCATGTGTTACATTACGTGAGGCACAGTGAGTGAGAATAACTAACTTTTTTTTAATGGACTGATGGCCTGCATCTGATGGTCAGTCTGAGTGGAGGGAAGGAGCAGCGGTGAGGCTGCCTCTCACCCGACTCACCGTCCCTCCGCTGAGAAAAGGGGACTTCCAGCTGATGGCAAAACTCAAGTCGCACTGCATTATTTCTGCCTTGTGCACAAAATCATGTTGTTACTCCTATGACCAGAGAAAGTGAAATATTCCTTGATATTAAAAAAAGACAAGTCGCTAATAATAACGTAAGCTTATCGGAACACTTTGCTATACTCATTCATTGCAGCTGCAGTGCTGGTTGTACCGTGAGTGGAAGTAGGCAGAATACAACATTGCCACAAAAAGCTCTTTACTCGACTAGCTTTTACAAAGCACGTTTTGTGCTCTTGTAGGAAGCAAATCACTCCCCCATTGCTGACTACAAATGATCTATAACTGAGCTAATAACTCACTAACTAGCAAAGGATATGAACAAATGTGCACACGTGGTTACATGCAGCTCTCGCTCAGTTCCAAAACAAGCGCATCTACTCACGACCTCTCATGCAGTAAACACAGTCCAGTTCAAAGTGAATGGCACAGATCCATATATGGCAATGGTCTATTTGCATATAGGCCTACTGCAGCGCTGATTGGTTATGCCACAACAGTCTGTGTAGAGTATGGGCTGAGTCGTGCGTGTCAATGCAATAGAATCCTACTATGACGCATTTTGCCTACAACAAAATCACACTTGCAGAGTTAGTTTTGCATACTAATAAGTCTTGCATAGTTTGTTTTGTTTCGGTATGTTGCATTGAAAGTGGCTAGTACTGCATTGATTCGATCACAATTTCTACAGTAAAGGGAAACGTTGATAGTGTTAACTCTAGAAAGTAGAGTGAAGTTCAATCTCGTGCTTTTCTGCGCATGCCGATATTTCAGCGTGCAGCTTAGAGAGAACCTATAGGTGCACTTGATTTGCTCTCTGGGCCTGCCGGGTAGGCAGAGTTCTACCTTAAGACACATTAAATGGCTCAAAATGGGAACACTTAGCCTTCCTAGCGCTAGGGCTGCCGAATTAAGTGCACCTACCACCAACAGCCTAAACTAAAATAATATATATTTAACCGTAAGGCTTTATCGTTTGTTTTTTTACAGCAATGTTTGGTGATCGACTAGGAATGCCTTGGAGATTGACCAGTCGATCGACTGGTTGGTGGTCACTGTTCTAATGTGAATGAAGCCCCGTCAATCTGGGGCGATTTACAGCCAGTGACCAGTGGACTCCCAGGTGCAGCGGAACCAGGATGACGTCATACTGGAAGAGGTCCACAGCTTTGGTCCATCGCTTCACGGCGGCGTGCCCCCCTCCACCGTGTAGTTTGGGGAAGAAGAAAGTACTGAAGGAGTAGACCTTCAGCCCTCGCCCTTCACTACTGCTACGAGCCATCACTAGGGACAGGTAGAAGTTAATCACCTGAGAGAGAGAGAGAGAGACAGAGAGGGAAAGTTTTTTGTTAAACTCACACACATCTTTCACTCTCTCACGCAGGCACACACTCCCTCACTAACTCACACACCAACAACCTCAAACTTAACAGCCAACAACCATACACACCTCATCGTTGAGCCAGCTCCCCTCCTGTAGTGAAGCCAGGTCTCTCTGTGTGATGCATAGCTTGAAGGCTGAGCTCAGGACCAGGTTAGGATCCCTATGGGACAGGGCACGACTCACCTCCACAGCCATCTCCTACACACACAGTTCGAAATAAACAATGAAAACAGACCCATATAATACCTACACTCATATGTCAACGCCTAGATCTCTTACACTACACAGACATAGCGTTATAGGCAAAAATAACACTCACCTTGGTGAACCTGGGGAGCTCCTCAGTGCTGTTGCGTCTGTCAGTGTGTGTTGGTGTCTCTCTGTCCACCAGGTTGAGTCTTGCTGCTACCTCTGCAGAGAGATCCAGCTCTGGCTGCTTCTGCTGGAGGGAGAAAGACTTTATAACAACCTTATGACGCTTCATAGCAGTTTTATGACTATTCATTGCACACTTACTACAGTTCATAAATGTGTCCTACCGTTGCATTGATGGCAGGTTGTGTGTCCACAGCTGCGCTGAGAGGCTTACTGAGACATAACTCTCCTCTCCTGTCTCTAGTCTGTTTGGCTGAGGATACATCTCTCCACATATACACACTGGGGTTGGCTGCAGATAGGAGAAGGAGAATACATTAGCCTAGGTCAACAGCATCCAATACATGAGAAGGGGGGTGAGAGAGGCTGTGATAGTAGTCTACCTCTGAGGGGTCCTGTCTTTGGGGTCACAGACTCATAGGTTCTTCCCAAAATGGCCGCCCTATGTCCATTCTGTGTGAGTGTTGCGCTGTGAGGAAGCGAGGAAAACAGAGGTTCGTAAAAGCTAGCTAACAGAACCACTGGAATTTAAATTATAACCACAGACTCTCCATCACCACTCACCCCTGGGGTTTGGTGCGGGTGAAGGGCAGTGGCTGGCTCTTGCTGTATTTCTCTGACACCATCTCCAGTAGCCGTCTGTAGTGCTCCTTATCACTCTCCTTCAGAGCCTGGAAACAGAACACACAGAACACCTGACTACTACTGACATACCTGGCGTGGCATTTAATAAAAACCAGGATCAATCACAGGGTTGATTTTAATTTCAAACTCATTCTTAACTCACCTCCTCCACTGCCAAGCACTGTCTGTGGCTGCGGTTAGGGGCGGGCAGGGGTAGTTCTGAGCTGGGGGTTCCTGTCCCAACACCCACCCCCAGGGTAGGCCGACTGGGCAGCAGCTGGAGGGAGCGCCTCTGGGGCTTGTCTCCGTCTCTTCCTCTGTCTGGGTTCCCTGGACCCAGCACCGAGCCACTGAGGACACAAAGTTTACAGGAGGAACATTCCACATTTGTATAACCTTTGTATTAAATCCCCAGAACTGAAAGTATGCAGTAGACAACAGAAGAGGAGACCTACGTGTGTTTCCTCACCAGAGGAGGAGAGGCTCCGTGGAGGAGGCCCAGCCCCCCTCTCTCCCTCTCACTCCGTCCGCCTACTGTCGGTTTCTCTGGAGATATGGAAAGAGGGACAAAAAAGTTGAAGTAACTACTTCACCTGTCCCCTCTGCTGTTACACAGATATTATATACCATGATGTTGTAATGTACAACACAGCTGTCCTCCTTCCTTATCGATCAAACAATCAGAGCCCTCGTTACTCACCCATTTTCCAATCAGAGCTGCTCATCCATGAGGTGTGGAGTTCATCTATTCCCATCAGTCCCACGGGGCCCTACATTTGTCATAATAGGAGTGATTTAGGACATAGTCAGATGTGAATATTGTGCAGCTATTGCACAAACATTTTAATGTTTGTGTACTGGTATGGGTCTCTCAGTCAGAGCAGTGGTTTATGAATGTGTTGTGTACGGTACTAGAATTCATCACTGGTACACATTCATACCTGGCTTGTTGTGTACCTTCTGTTCTTCTCACTGGCAGGAGACAGTGGGTTCCTCAGTCTCAGCAGTCCAGCCACCCCTGCTACAGTCTTCTTCACAAAACTAACAATTATGTCTATGACAATGAGAGAGAGTACAGTACACACAGTCAGTTCAAGTTCAAAGCTGACTAGTTAGCTAACGTTAGTTACAATGACAATTACTGATAAGAACAGTGGCTAAAAATGATTGGTAATAAGTTACCATACCTCTTCTCTGTCTCTTGATCGCCACTGGTTCACTCTGGCTAACATTTTCTGAAACATGAACGCTGTAACAGAATGTAAACACGTTTAGTCAACAACAACGAACATTAATTACCTAACAGTAACTAACCAGGTAGTAAAGTTACATTTGTTCGCAAGTTAGCTACAGTTAGTTTGTTATATTGATTCATTTCTACAGTACCTTGCTATTTGATTAGGAAATAGTTAGCTAACGTCTGGTAAGAGGCACGAGGAAAAAGTTACCTAGCCTTGTTTATTTTTGAAGCAAGCAGCTAACACCAACTGGAATGAATGACTAAGAATTAGCTAGCTAGCTAGGAGTGACACGTTAGTTGTTAGCTAGTTGACTGGCTAGCGTTTGCCAGCTAGCTAACTGACGCGTTGCATAAACAACTACACAGAGCACACTAGCACCAAAGACAGAACATGTGCTAGCACCAAGCCAGTCACCGACCTCTGGTAGTTCCTTTTGGTCGGCCTGGCGTTGCTATCCCGCCGTTGCGAGTCTATCTCCCCGCCAACGTTCAAACCAGGCCAACCGGAATGTTTTTGCCCGGTTTTAGGCTCGAAGAGCGACGATAGTCCGTCAACTACCCATCCGTACATCACAGACAGATACGAGAGAATGGAAACTTCCTCGTACGGTCGGGCCAGGACTATCCGCGGTTTAAAATATAAGCTCCGTGGGCACGAAAGTTCTACCTGCGCCACAACACCATTCACTTTCTTCTAGCTAGCACAATTAGCCTAGCATTTAGCTTCGTGTTGAAATGAGTGACGTGAATGTACACAAACGTGAAGACCGTCAGCGCACGTAGGGGGAAAACATCAGTGACTTCCTCGTACCGTATACTTGGATATGCTAATCTTATGCCGCGTTCCCGAAATAGTCGCAACTAGGAAACTCGTAAATGTATGACTTGCTAACTAGTTGACAGCGGCACGTGTATAACTACAACCAGTTAGCAAGTCCGACATTTCCGAGTTTCTTAGTTCCGACTAGCATTTGAACGCTTTGGATACTGTGGCGTGTAAAAACATTTCAGGCGATTTTTCTCGGTCTGCACGGGTTCAGTTTTCCATATCATGGGTGTTGTGTGATAATGTTTTCGTTGGATTGTCAAACAAATCATTTCAAAAAGTAGGCTACATGCGCAGTTCGATCCGCCATAATAATTCCACAATAATTTATTTTGCTGATACTCGTATAGCCTACTGGCTATTTTCGCCCCTAATTTAGACAAGTTTCTGCTTATAATTTCCGACATTTGGTACGCCATATTATAATTTCTAACGTTTGATGTGGCCATTTGTTTGTCAACTATAGTTACACATGCAGCTTCTCTTCCGTCATAACTTGTTGCCCTAGAAGACTAAATAAAGTAGTGTTCGCCAGAATAATGTCTTACATCGATATAATTAATGCATTCATCTAGTTACCACCGGTAAAGTTTTCTGTTTCATTTAGGGACCCGTAATAACTCCAAAAATGTGGAATGATTGGTCCTGTGCAAAGTATCCAAATGGAATCAGTTTGACCGGTTTGAAGGAAATTAAAAGCTGATGAAACACGTTTCTGAGAAGACTTCAGTCCGTCTTGGGTGTGTCGTAGTAAATATAAAATGTTATAGATTGATATGAGTAAAATGTTGTGCAAAAGGTTGTGCAAGACAAATTGTGTCAGGAGCTTGTTTTCAATAAATGCTGTTCCTATGCAAGAACAATGGACAGAGGACCATATCTTGTCACCAGGTGGCCAAGGACAACACCCACGCCACAGGCCACAATCACTTGCTGCTCCCCACGAGTTTCCCTTGAGACACACACACACACACACATCTCACTGTGGACGCACACTCATTCTCAACTTGACACACATACACACACACACACACACACACACATCTCACTGTGGACGCACACTCATTCTCAACTTGACACACATACACACACACACACACACACACACACATCTCACTGTGGACGCACACACATTCTCAACTCCCCTTCTACTGGTCGGGTGCCAAGGGCAGAGGACTCTGCCGTGCACCAATGGGGCATCTGCTCTGGACAGAGCAGACCCGCCTCCTACGCCTCGGGAACCAATCAAGGGACTAGAAGAAGGACCCCTTCCTTTATGTTACATTGTATAAAGTAATGCTGTAAACTCTTTTTAATCATCCTTCTCAACTGTCTCCATAAGAGGCAATTGATTGGGTCCATGCATAGGGCCCATGCATGTAGCTTGAGCAGTACCAGCTATCTCTGTTTTAATAAACTGCCTTTTGCTTAAGCAAATTCCTCTCTGTCTAGCGTCGTTGGTTTTGTACTTCCTCTCCAATTATGTGTTCACCAACAAATTGGTAGCAGAGGATGGTTTCTAATTCGATCTAAAGAGTTGGTGCGAGAGGAAAAGGCAAATCATCGATCTAAAAACAGACGGAAGAGTGACCTGTAATCCAGGAGACATCAACTATTCGTCTTGCCTCAGGAACCTGATCAGAGCGCTCTTCTAAAAAGGTATGCAGAGCCTGTTAAAAACGAAATCTTGCATATTGTATTATAGACCAATACCAAATTTTGATCAGAAGTACTGAGTGTGAGTATGAATACTTGTTAAATAATTTTCCATCCTAATGAATTAAGGCATACATGAGATATCTGGTACTGTGTTTTATACTAAGGAATAAAGGAATAAGGAATAAAGGAATAAGGAATAAAGGAATAAGGAATAAAGATAAACGTATCCAGAATGTGTCAAACTACGGATTGACGCATTGGTGGATAAGATTTGACCCATAAATCTAGATTCCTAAGGGACTCAGTTTGTTCTGAAATCTCTCGCATAAAATATACCCTATAGGTTGCGAGGAGGTTGAAGTTAAACTGTGGCAGAGTTCTAGACATTAGGTGGGGGAGAATCACCGAAATTGACCAGAGGTACTAAATTCCCGGGGATGCCAGTTATCTCTGTGATTTCACACTTAAAACGTTCCATATAAATGGTTGTGTGAAAGGTACAATTAAGCTGAGACTAAGTCCTTCCTAGTGATCGAGTTGTCTAAAAAAAAAATCCTTTGATAGGGATCCAGTTGCTTCTGTGACTTCACATAAGTATAAGGTTGTGTGAAGGGTAGCAGTCGAACTGAGACTATGTTTTAGGACGCTCTGGTAACCAAAATTTTTTAAGGTATTGAATTCTAATTGGCAGTTTTGTTTTGCTGTGTTTATATTTTAACGTGTCTGTGTTTATATTTTAACGTATCTGTGTTATATCTTAAACGTGTAATGGATGATGGGAAGTTATAGTGAGACTTATGAGACTGAACACCAATCTGTGGAATTGAGTGAATTTGACCTAGGCTTTCAGGAACCAGGGATTGGGGAGACTGATATTGGATCTGTGCATATTCTTGAACAAGAACTGAGACAATTGAAGCGTGTTGTGTGCTGTGTGTGGAAATTACTGCATTGGTGTATGTGATTGGAATTCTGATTTTTATGATAATGATTGCATTACACATAATATAAACAATCAGCCTCTTTATATACGAGGGTGTCGTACATGAGATAAGTTTGTATTGATACCGATAATACATCCTTGGAAATAAAACACCAGGGACGGGATAAGTGTATAAAGATAGAGAAAGCAAGATGGCAGGGCCAAACATAACTAAACCCAAATTTAATGAATGCCTAGAACAACGAATGACAGAGAGAGCAGAGGGAGAGTTGAGAGTAGGGACATGGGAAATAGAGGAGAGTAGGAGGGTGCAACCTAAAAAATCTGACACAATGTGTGTGAAAGGGTCTCCTACAGTCGCCCCAGACACCAGCACCACTCCTGGCCCCACCTCACTATACAGCCTAAAAGGCACCATGACTTTTGGCCCACAACCACAACCATGGCCTCAGCGGGGCACTCCACCGGGTCCTCCTAGAAGAGGGAACTACCTGTGCTACCATTGTGGAAGAACTGGACATTTCAAGCGTGATTGTTGGGATCTGCAGAAATCTAACCATCAACCCCCAGGGAGGGGAAGAGGCAGAGGTACACCACAATGGAGAGGTAGAGGAAGGGGAGGACCCCCACAACAACCATAAACCCACCTGTCTGAACTCCAGGGGCCCGAAGGCGTGATCCTCATCCAATACTACTACCACCGACATCACAGACTGAACTCAACCAAGGCGATATAGCACAGTTACAGAGCTCAGCAGGACCCTATGAACACTCAGTCTGGGCCCAGGAGGGGGCGGCAGAGGACAGGACGAACTCTGGAGGTGCCATGATGGAAGACTATTTGAACCAGCTAGACTCTGCCCAGAACTGTTGAGTGAAGCTCACGGGCCCACACATGAGGGGAAGTTTAAGACCCTCCAAAAGGTTTCACACATCTGGTGGCACCCTCACATGACAGAAACTGTAGACAGGTTTTCAAAATGGGTAGAGGCAATTCCTACAGAAAACTACAGAAATAGAGGATGATAGGTCAGTCATTAAGTGGCTACAAACTAAATTAATACCCAGGTACGGTATACCAAGGCAGATAAGATCTGACAACCACACATTTTAGCAAAAAAAAAAAAAACACCTGAAAAAGGTGGAGGAAAGATTCGGAATCATGCACGGATTCGGTTCAGTTTATCATCCTCGGTCCCAGGGACTCGTGGAACGCGCCAACCTAGCCAAGGGAGGGAGGTCATATGCCCGCCCTTGATGTACAACAGATAGAAATGACTGATTATGTGATGAAATTGACGGAGCTTTCTGCAGCACTCTCTTCTCAGGTGCGGAAGGTCCAGGAGAGGGAGCTGACAGGAAGTACGCTGCCACTGAAGGTAAAGGTGGGAGACTGGGTGAGGGTAAAAGTCCACAAGAGAAAGTGGCTGGAACCCAGGTGGACTGGACCGTACGAAGTGAAGGAGGTTACTTCACACTCAGTCCAGGTCAGAGGTAAATTAGGCGCACCCTGGCACCATCTAACACATTGCACACCAGCCCCCACTCCTTCTAGAACACTGACAGAAGTCAGAGCTGATTTGAGCAGCCAAAACCAAAATTTGACACCAAAATGAAGATGAAATAGAATTTGAACAACAGCTTTGATGTATTTAATCGTGCACTAGAGGGGGACTAACATTGTTTAATTAACTGGCCATATAATTAGTATGCTAGTTTTGTTTTCTTTCCTGCATTATTGTTTTTCTTTTAAGACTGATTCAACTATGCTTAATGCCAACATAATTAATGGATCACGTCTAGAAGACGTGAAGAGGTGGATTTGTCGTAGTAAATATAAAATGTTATAGATTGATATGAGTAAAATGTTGTGCAAAAGGTTGTGCAAGACAAATTGTGTCAGGAGCTTGTTTTCAATAAATGCTGTTCCTATGCAAGAACAATGGACAGAGGACCATATCTTGTCACCAGGTGGCCAAGGACAACACCCACGCCACAGGCCACAATCACTTGCTGCTCCCCACGAGTTTCCCTTGAGACACACACACACACACACATCTCACTGTGGACGCACACTCATTCTCAACTTGACACACATACACACACACACACACACACACACATCTCACTGTGGACGCACACTCATTCTCAACTTGACACACATACACACACACACACACACACACACATCTCACTGTGGACGCACACACATTCTCAACTCCCCTTCTACTGGTCGGGTGCCAAGGGCAGAGGACTCTGCCGTGCACCAATGGGGCATCTGCTCTGGACAGAGCAGACCCGCCTCCTACGCCTCGGGAACCAATCAAGGGACTAGAAGAAGGACCCCTTCCTTTATGTTACATTGTATAAAGTAATGCTGTAAACTCTTTTTAATCATCCTTCTCAACTGTCTCCATAAGAGGCAATTGATTGGGTCCATGCATAGGGCCCATGCATGTAGCTTGAGCAGTACCAGCTATCTCTGTTTTAATAAACTGCCTTTTGCTTAAGCAAATTCCTCTCTGTCTAGCGTCGTTGGTTTTGTACTTCCTCTCCAATTATGTGTTCACCAACAGGTGCATATTTTATGTGGTTGAAATACTGTCTGCTTGCATAACAGTGTCAAAGATAACACATTCGCATTTCCTCAAGAGACGCTGAAAGAAAGAAATCATACACAGAACAAAAATAGAAATGCAACATGCAACAATTTCAAAGATTTTTACAGTTCATATAAGGAAGTCAGTCCATTTAAATAAATAAATTAGGCCCTAATCTATGAATTTCACATAACTGGGAATACAGATATGCATATGTCGGTCACAGACACCTTAAAAAAAAAAGGTAGGGGAGTGGATCAGAAAACCAGTCAGTATCTGGTGTGATCACCATTTGCCTCATGCAACTCTCCTTCACCTAGAATTGATCAGGCTGTTGATTGTGGCCTGTGGAATGTTGTCCCACTCCTCTTCAATGGCTTTGCAAGTTACTTTGCAAGTTACTTTGCAGGATATTGGCGGGAACTAGAACACACTGTTGTACACGCTGATCCAGAGCATCCCAAACATGCTCAATGGGTGACATGTCTGGTGAGTATGCAGGCTATGGAAGAACTGGGACATTTTCCTGGAATTGTGTACAGATCCTTGCGACATGAGGATGCTATCTCTGTGCATTCAAATTGACATCGATAAAATGCAATTGTGTTCATTGTCTGTAGCTTATGCCTGCCAATACTATAACCCCTCCGCCACCATGGGGCACTCTGTCAGCCATCTGCCCGGTACAGTTGAAACCGGGATTCATGTGTGAAGAGCACACTTCTCCAGTGTGCCAGTATCCTTTGAAGGTGAGCATTTGCCCACTGAAGTCAGTTACAATGCCGAACTGCAGTCAGGTCAAGACCCTGGTGAGGATGACAAGCAAGCAGATGAGCTTCCCTGAGACAGTTTGAGCAGAAATTCTTCGGTTGTGCAAACCAACAGTTTCATCAGCTGTCCGGGTGGCAGGTCTCAGACGATCCCACAGGTGAAGAAGCCGGATGTGGAGCTCCTGGGCTGGCGTGGTTACACACATGGTCTGCGGTTATGAGGCCGGTTGGATGTACTGCCAAATTCTCTAAAACAACATTGGAAGTGGTTTATGGTAGATACATTAAGATTCAGTCCTCTGGCAACAGCTCTGGTGGACATTCCTGCAGTCAGCATTCCAATTGCACGCTCCCTCAAAACTTAAGACATCTGTGGCATTGTGTTGTGACAAAACTGCTAATATTGTCCTAAGCACAAGGTGCACCTGTGTAATGATCATGCTGTTTAATAAGCTTCTTGATATGCCACACCTGTCAGGTGGATGGATTATCTTGGCAAAGGAGAAATGCTCACTAACAGGGATGTAAACAAATGTGTGCACAGAATCTTGTGCGCATGGAACATTTCTGGGATCTTTTATTTCGGCTCATGAAACATAGGACCAACACTTTACATGTTGCGTTTATATTTTAGTTCAGTATATTTCTCCACTCCAGTTCCAGAGACAAAATTAAAATGTGTTCTATAATTTTACTGCAAGACATGGATAATTCTGCAGGAGTTCATATTATATTACGGTACATGTGAGCGGTTAAAGGCACAGTCAGTGTCCATATTTCAGTGACTATTCCATTTAACCCATATTAATTTAAATTAGGAATATTCTGCTTATTCATGTATACAGGGATACTGGTGAGCGGGATATCAAAGGTGCATGTAAACAGCTTATCCGGAATAAGGCCTTAAAGCAGGATATGAGCTACTATCCAGAATACTGTACATTTTACATTTTAGTCATTTAGCAGATGCTCTTATCCAGAGTGACTTACAGTTAGCGAGTGCATACATTTTCATACTGCCCTCCCGTGGGAATCGAACCCACAACCCTGGCATTGCAAACGCCATGTCTACCAACTGAGCTACACGGGACCTGTACGCATGTAAACGTGGTCATTGGTTAGACTAGTGTGGAACTGGCGGTCAGCTGGTACCTCCTACCTTGTATGCCCAAATTATTACATAATGTAATGGGCATCTCAGTGATTTAAGCCCCAGATGAACCAACTGATTTTGTTGCTGATTATATATACAGCTCTGGAAAAAATTAAGAAACCACTGCAAATGTTTCTTAAATCAGCATCTCTACATGTATGACAGCCATTCCATTCCAGTGTCTGTTGAATTCCAACACAGGCACACCTCATTCTACTGAATTAGGTACTGATTAGGTGATCATCTGAACTAAATCTTATTTAACGAGGAAAAGTATAAAAACCACTGCTGTGGTCATCACTATCCTCTTGCAATAGGACCAGCTGGATGGCAAAAACTGTGCTAATAGTACCTCAAAAGTAATATTAATCAAAAAATAACTATTGACCATGCCAAAACAGTTGAAAAGGAACGTTTTGAGTGAGGAAAAGAAGGGTTCAATTCTGGTTTTACTGGCAGAGGGATACAGTGAGCGTCAGGTTGCTTCCATCCTTAAAATTTCAAAGACGGCGGTTCATATGAACAAGGTCAAGCAGCAGACATTGGGGACAACAAAGCTACAGATCGGCAGAGAGCGAAAACGACTCTCTACTGACCGGGATGACCGCCAACTCATTCGAATGTCACTGAACAACCGTAGGATGACATCAAGTGACCTACAAAAAGAATGGCAAACTACAGCTGGGGTGAAGTGCACGGCGAGGACGGTTCGAAACAGGCTCCTAGGGGCAGGGCTGAAGTCGTGCAAAGCTAGAAAAAAGCCCTTCATCAATGAGAAGCAAAGAAGAGCCAAACTGAGGTTTGCAAAAGACCATAAGGATTGGACCGTAGAGGACTGGAGTAAGGTCATCTTCTCTGATGAGTCCAATTTTCAGCTTTGCCCAACACCTGGTCGTCTAATGGTTAGACGGAGACCTGGAGAGGCCTACAAGCCACAGTGTCTCGCACCCACTGTGAAATTTGGTGGAGGATCGGTGATGATCTGGGGGTGCTTCAGCAAGGCTGGAATCGGGCAGATTTGTCTTTGTGAAGGACGCATGAATCAAGCCACGTACAAGGTTGTCCTGGAAGAAAACATACTTCCTTTTGTGCTGACATTGTTCCCCAACTCTGAGGATTGGTTTTTCCAGCAGGACAATGCGCCATGCCACACAGCCAGGTATCTCAAGGTGTGGATGGAGGACCAACAGATCAAGACCATGTCATGGCCAGCCCAATCTCCAGACCTGAACCCCATTGAAAACTTCTGGAATGTGATCAAGAGGAAGATGGATGGTCACAAGCCATCAAACAAAGCAGAGACTGGTGGAGAGCATGCCAAGACGCATGTAAGCTGTGATTGAAAATCAGGGTTATTCCACCAAATATTGATTTCTGAACTCTTCTTAAGTTAAAACATTAGTATTGTGTTGTTTAAAAATGAACATTAACTTATTTTCTTTGCATTATTCGAGGTCTGACAACACTGCATCTTTTGTTATTTTGACCAGTTGTCATTTTCTGCAAATAAATGCTCTAAATGACAATCTTTTTATTTGGAATTTGGGAGAAATGTTGTCAGTAGTTTATAGAATAAAACAACATTTTTAATTTTTACCCAAACACATACCTATAAATAGTAAAACCAGAGAAACTGATAATTTTGCAGTGGTCTCTTAATTTTTTCCACAGCTGTATATATATATATATATATATATATATATATATATATAGAGAGAGAGATAGACAGACAATTTCTATACTATATTAGAATGTGTTATATATATAATTACCAGAGCACCAATACATGGCATATCAGTGATTTGACCCCTAGGTGAACTGCCATGATATGCAGTGTAACTAAATACATAACTACCAAAGATTTAACTGGTTATTAAGATTATAGTTTCCCCCTTCTGTGAAACTGCTGTCAAACTACACTGGACTGGAATGACCGGTCTAAAAGAAGAACTAGCCTACTTAGTAGTTACTATTTTCCTTGCAGGTCTCATTTTGAGTTGGTAATTACATGTGAGTCTAAAGCTCCCCAGAACTAATCACCAGTGTTAATGAATGATTAACAAAGTAAAATGTAGGGGTGTTTGTATTAGTGTCTTCATCAAACCACCATCAGTTTTTGATCAACCCCATAATCTAACAATACTGTAAGTATTGCTTTAGGTCTGTGCATGTCTGATGCTGCCTATGTTCGGCCCTGCCTTAAAAAGATACACACCCAATGCTCAAGTCAGGTAATCACATAATACAAATATTTATTGATTTTGTAGAAATGGTGATCTATAAAAAAAATAAAAAAAAATTGACAAAACATGTTCACCAGCTTTGATCTATAGCTCGGAATTCCAGTGCGAAACGTTACACATTTATCCACATGTGAAACTAACAAATATTAACAACCGCGAACATATATACAGAATCAGAGATACAAACTTGTATAAAACTCAGGTAGAAAAATAGCGATCTAATACTTTCTTAGGAGTTCTTCTTATAACTCGGAGGTCGACAGTAGAAATATCTGTGTAGAAAAAAACGAATCTTAAAAAAATAATTTATGTCTTTAAAAAAATCTAACGTTCTAAATCAGATAATAGACAAATACATTCCCTTGTATATTTGAACACAAAGATGGATCATAAGGATGTTGGATTGAAAGGAGGCATTCATACATTGCTTCATTCCTTCCTTCAGCGGTCAGACTTCTTGTGGTAGGAGAGAAGAGATGGAGAGTCTGGAGGAGAGAGAAAACAATGTGTCAGAACCAGATAAAAGAGCAACACACACACAATCTCTCTCTCTCACAAACAAACAAATGAACACTCAGGTGCCTGTGAAAAACACCCCCAGTACAGAAGAAAACTATTCAATGGACCATTGTCCATTTCAGAATGGCTATGTAGTGACTATCCACACGTGCCTGCTTACACCAAATTGTGCCCTACCCTGAGACATCCTGGTACTTGTAGTTTGTTCAGTACGGTGAAGGTGATGTGGGGAGATATTAACGAAGCAGTGTATTCTTGTACTTGTAGTTAGGTCCTCACCTGGGCCGTACAGGTAGATGGGGGACAGACAGCTGAGGTACAACCATGTCCTGTTCTCTTGCAGCCACCGCTGCCGATAGCCAATCATATCAGGGGAACTTGGAGGCGGGGCTAAGTAAGCGCTGCTAACTGGGTCAGGAGATGGGATTGGAGGTGGTGAGATTGAATGATCAGTTTGTCAGAGAGGAAGTGTGTCCATGGTAACAATGCCGTCCCCTAACCCGGGGGATTAGTGGACTTGCCGTGGTACGATGCCATCACCAAGCTAAAGCCCCTCTTTCTCCCTGTCACCTCTGATCTCCCCCATCTCATTCAGTGAGTGTGTGCTCAACCAGTATGTGCAACCAGTGTGTGTGTGTGTACCTGGCCGTGCAGCCCCCAGGCGTTGCTGTACGTTCTCCAGGTGGTGGATGTAGTCTGTCAGAGACCGCTCTGCATCCTGGGACAGAACACTGGACGGAGCACGCTCAGAGGACAGGACCGGGTTGGAATACACTCTAGGGGGAAGAGGAGAGGAAGAGAGGGGAGAATAAGAGAGGGGAGAATAAGAGAGAAGAGGAGAGGAGAGAACAGGTAGAAAAGGATAGAAATGAAATATCAAGGTATGTCGTTAGAGTTTACTATGGAAGGAGCAGTACCGGTTGTGCAGCCTGAAGGGTGATTTCATTGGTGGGACCAGAGGTGAGGCCACGCCCTTATGGTTAGGGCTGCTGTCTCTAGTGGGTGGAGAGGAGTTGTGTGGCTGCTGCTGCCTCAAAACCTCAGTTCTGGAAGCTGAGAGAAATAGAAAGGTTACACTGAGCTGTCGATGTCCCTTACCTGTGTGACGTTGGCAATCCTACCTTCATAGCTCTGGCTGTCTGTCTCATACGCACCTGTGCTATGTCCGTTGACAGTGACAGTTGTCGTAACTCCTCTCCTGATGACTCTCTGCCACTTCCTGGTCAGGAACTTCAGTCTGGAGGAGAAGGACAGGGAAGGGTTAACATGCATAACACAAAGACCCATAGCTTTAACATTGAACACCCACCCACACACGACCAACCCAACACCCTCACACCCAACCCACCGTGAGATGGCGATGACAGCTCGTACTGCAGCTCTGAAGCGTGAGAGGGGAGAGTGTGTGTGGGCGTGGGGCGGCGAGGGGTGCGCCCCCATCCGGGCGATGAGACAGAGGGTTGCCTGTTCACAGTCCTGGAAGCCCCCCAGCAGCAGCAGGAGGTAGCGCTTCTGGTAGACCAGAGACTTCCTAAAGCTCTCAGCCCGCAGGTAGCGCTCATACAGTCGCTGGAACTAGAGAGGGGGCCAGCGACAGAAACACAGGGTTAAAGGGAAGTCAAGACAAGGGACTTTACACCAGGGGATCCATGGGGACTTTCTGCCCAGAGGTTGAGTGTGTGTGCGTGAGTGAGTTTGTTCGTTTGCGTGTATCTCACCTTGCTGTTGCTGAGGTCAGTGCTGGGCCTGTTTTCAATCTCTGCCTGTCGTAGCTGTCGTTCCAGACAGGACAGGGTGTGTTTCAGGTTAACCCTTTCCTGACTCAGCTCCTTCACACGGGCCGACAGGTCAGAGTTCTCCCTCAACAACCTCTCCACCAGCGCCGAGGAAGAGGAGGAAGACTGCAGGGAGAGACAGAAATTGGTTATCACGGTCCTTATCAAACTCATTTATTGTAGTCACAAATCCCCCAAAACAGCATAAATACATTTAAAAAACTGCCGTCTAGCTTGTCTCCAGTGTTGCTATGACCAGCCATTTAAACAGCGCTCTGGTACCTGGTGGTTGTATAGGGCTGGGCTGGTCTGGTCTGGCCCAGACGAGGTGCTGTTCTTGGGTTGGAGTGGGCTGGAGTTGTACTGGTGTCGGTTGGACAGTCTCTCTGTAGCCATCTCTCTCTCCTCCCTCTCCAGCTCAGCCAGAGTCTGCTGGAGATCTCTCATCCTCTGCTGGTCCTGCTGCCGCAATAACTCCAATTCACACTGCAGAGAGAAAGAGAAAGAGAGAGAGAGAGAGAGAGAGAAAGAACACAGGAGAGTAAATAAGAAATATGGTATATAAGTGGCTGAGACACTGTTGTATTACCAGTCAGACAGGCAATGACAAAATGTTGTGTAAATCTCACCAGTTTGTTGCTTGTCCTCTCGTGTCGCCTCTCTCTCTCTGTCTGCTCCTGTCTCTCCTTCCTCCTCTCCCTCTCCCTCTGTTCCTCCTGCTCTCTTCCCCTTCTCATTGACCAATCGAATCCTCTCCCTCAGCTCGTTGAGCTCCGCCCCTAAGCGACCAGAACGCTCTCTCTCTATCTCCAATGCACGACTAGCCTCCTGCTTCTGCTCCTTGAGTGTCTCCATAGTAACTCTGAGGCGGGCTGCAGCATCCTGATCTCTCTGTGCCTCCTCACTCCTCTTCCTCTCTTCCTCCTCTACTCTCCTCCGGTTCTGCAGAAGTTCCGCCCTCAGCCCGTCTGTCACGGTGGCTAGCTCCTCCCCCTGCCTCCTCTCCTGCTCCAGCTGAAAGCGGAGCTCCGAGATGAACTTCCTGTCTCGGGACGCATCCGCTTCCTGTCTGCGTGTGATGTCATCGAGACGCCGGGCAGAGCGCTCGCGTTCCTCCTCCAGTTCCTTCATGTGTGCGTCGGCTAGGCGGGACTCAGCCTCTTTCAGGAAGTGTTCCAGCCGACTCTTTTCCTGTGACTGGAAAGTGTCAAGTTGCCGGGCGGAACGGGCGCACTCCTCCTCGAGCTCCTTGTGGGCATCGGCTAGCCGTGTGTCGAGCTGTGATTGGAGGAGGTGGCCGCGGGAGAGTTCTATCTGGAGTTCCTGTCGGAGGTTACTGGAGGTCGTCCTCTCCTGGTCCAGCTGACCCCTCAGGGTCACGACCTCTGATCTCTGCTGCTCCTCCTCCTTCTCCCGGAGGTGTGTGTGAGTTCTCTCCTGGTCCAGCTCCTGCTGTAGCTCCTGGACTCTGGTCTGCTCCCTCCTTACAGCCTCCTCACACTCCTCTATACACAGCCTGGGAGAGGACACACACATCAGTATTTATTTATGTGTGTGTGTGCATACGAGAATGTATGTATGTGTGTGTGTGCGCGTGCGTGCGTGCGTGTACCCGAGTTTGTGGATCTCGTTGTGTAGTTCCTGCTGGGTGCTGTGGGAGGAGTTAAGTCGTTCGCTGCTCTCCTCTAGTTCCGCCCTCAGCCTGGATAACACCTCCCCTTTAGATGACTCCTCCCCCTGGGAGAGCTGCAGCTGCAGACCGTGTCTGTCTGCAGAGAGCAGACGCTCCACCACAACACGCTGCTGCTCCTCCTGGAGAGATGAGGGAGAGCGAGGGAGGGGAGAGAGAAGGATAGCTTTATTTGTTTTACCCTTTCAATTAAGCTAAGCAGATACAATGAAGCTTTTTTACAGTATACATGAGTGCCTTAGTGGAGACCACTCCAAACACGCTCGTGCAAACACACACCTGTCTCTGTAGCAGTGTTTCCAGCTGACGGAGGAGGTGGGTGGAGTCTATCTCAGGGCGGGAGGAGAGGAAGGCTTGCAGCTCAGCGCGAAGCCCCGCCCTCTCACAGTCAAGCACACCCCTTACTGCAGCCTGCAGCCCTCTGCTCCAACCAGCATCCAGAGTGTTCTCCTGTTAAACACACACAGGAGGGTCAGTATGCACACATGCAGAAGTTAAGCACACATCTCACACACACACACACACACACACACACACACACCCCTTACCGGTCTCTGTGCCATCCTACAGAGCAGTTCTCTCAGAGCGATGACAGTTTCCTGTAACGCCCTCTTCTCCTGCTCCCAGCCCATTGGAGGAGCTTTAGAGTCTGACTGACAGATCGTCTGGTCCAATGAGAGGTGGTTAGAGGAGGAGGGGGCGTTACGCTGGGAGAGGGCGAGAACCCTGCAGCTCTCCTGGTACACTCTCTTCAACAAACCCTGGAAACACACCCACAGTTTGGTATAGGGTTCATTTGTAACATTTAAGGTGTGTATGTGTGTGTTCATACCTGCAGTTCAGGAGACAACAGTTCGTCGCTGTAGCTCATACTACCGGCGGCGCTGTCGGTGTGTGTGTTGTCGGTGTGTGTGTTGGTTGCGGGGTTCATGCCTCGACAATGCAGGTACTCCAAGAACTGAGCGTCCAGCCTCTCGGTCTGCTCCAACTCTACCTTGAGTCTTACACCGAGCTCTGAACTGACATCTACACAGACAGAGACAGAGACAGAGAGAGAGAAGTTAGACACATGAACACAGACAGACAGACCAACAAAATGACAGACAAACAGACTTACTGCGGCCATATCCGTCACTGGCCCACTCCGGGGCGGACAGAGAGGAGGCGGAGCCAAGAGATGAGGGAGGGGCCGTCAGGTCCAGGGCTTCCAGCTCATGCACCTGACAGCAGAGAGAGAGAGAGGTTTAACAGATACTACCAGTCAAAAGTTTGGACACACCTACTCATTCAAGGGTTTTTTCTTTTTTTAAACTATTTTTTACATTGTAGAATAATAGTGAAGACATCAAAACTATGAAATAACACATATGGAATCATGTAGTAACCAAGTAGGTGTGTCCAAACTTTTGACTGGTACTGTATGTGTGTATGTGTGTATGGACACTTTTCCCAACATCCCACCCACCTTGTCAGCGTCCATTGAGTCCAACATGGAGAGGTTGTCCGAGGCAGAGATGGACCCAGGGGAGCGGGTGCTGTGTGTGCCCAGCTCTGGGCTGATTGTCCCTGGGCAGGGCTGGTCTTGCCGTCCCCTGGGGGAGGCTTTAGCCTGGAGCTCCAGGCCTGTGCTGTTTAAAGCACTGAGGTCAGACAGTCTAGAACCATGTAAAACAGAGTGGTGGAACCGGTCCTCTCTGGTTCTCTCCTCAGAACAGTCCAGTCGACGGAGAACCTCTGGGGAACTCAGGGACTCGTTGCGAGACACACCGTCCTCGAATCCTCGAGGTGAGACGTCTGGAGGAGGAAGATGATCACTGTCATCCAACAGCTCTGCACTCATTAGAGAAACACCATTGTCTGTGTAGCAGCTTGAATGTGTACTCACCCTTCAGTGAGTGTGTCTGTCTGTTGTGCGGGTTGCAGGTCTGTCTGAGCTGCAGCAGTTCTCGTTGCTGATAGGCCAGCTCCTCTTCCTGCACGGCTAGGTCTTCCTGTAGGCCCCGGAGCTCCGCCTTCAGATGCTGGTTATTGGTTTCCAGGTCAGCCAGGGCCCGGTCTTTGGTCTGATTGACAGGTGAATGAAACAAATCAGAGAAAACAGTGTCATTTACAGTCCTTTTAAAATGTACAGTAGAAAAACCATTTTGCATGTTCAGTTTAAATGCGCACACACACACACAGAGCGTACCTGTCCCTCCTCCAGTAGTTTCTCAGCTCTCTCTGTGCTGGAGCAAAGACCCTCCTTCACAGCTGCTAACTCTGCCCCTAGGGCTTGATGCTCCGCCCCTAGTCGCCGTAGCTCCTCCTCCCTCTGTCTCAGGGCAGCGTCAGCCTTCGCCAGAGTCTCCTCAGCATACGTCTGTAAGAGAACAGCCTTCATCATCATCATGAGTATGATCAATATCAACAGCACC